GTGCTTAGCACAGTGCCTGGCACATAGTAGGCTCTTAATAAATGCTTGTTGACTCATTGACTGCTCCCCTTTGACTGCCCTGTGAACCTTCTCCTGGCCAGATCTGGACCTCGAGCACTAATCTGCTACGTTGTTTGACAGGCCTAACGTTGGCCCACGGAGGGCGGAGGGAGAGTAGGGACAAAGCCCGAGGCTTGAGGATATGCAGAGTAAATGTGAAGAGAATAAATACAAGTAAATTAATTAGATATTTAAAGCATTAAGTATTATCTCAGGAACTTAGCAGCTGTGTGACCCTGGGCAAGTCACTTCACCTCTACTACCTCAGTTTCCTCAACTGTAAAATGAGGATCGTAATAGCCTTTACTCCCAAGGTTGTCTTGAGGATCAAATGAGATAATGTTGGTAAAACGCTTAGTGTAGAATGCCTGGCACATACAAGGCACCTAATAAATTATTGTCATTGTTGTTTGTCCTTCGTTCTTGAAGAGGACCATGACATCAGGGAGGCGATGCCATGACTTGCAAGCGAATTGGATTTGAGTGAGGCAGGGCTGTGCAGGCACCAGCCTCACTTTCTCCTCTGGAGCCATCTGGGTCCAGTGGCCAGATATAGACCAGGATGACTGGAGGTGGCTCCAGATGCAAAGAAATATAATAATATATAGTACAAATACAGTACAAAGTGAATTAGTTATGTTCTCCTCAAAATCCACTTTCAACACTGCCAGACAGCTTTTCTAGTTTTTGCAGCTGTCTGAAAGGGAAGGACCAGCTGCTGAGGGGCTTAGGAAAGGCTTCCCATAGAAGCTAGTGTTCAAGGCGGGTGTTGAAGTAAGAGAGTGATCCTATAAGGCGCAGGTGAAGAGGGAATGCATTCCAGGCGTGAGGGCCAGCCAGTGCAAATTCCCGGCGAGGGGAGATGGTGAGCAGAGAGAAGTCTGGTTTCTTCAGACTGCAGTGTTTAGGACTGGCCCTGGCTGATCTCCTCTGGGCTGTGTAGGGGGAGGAGGGCAGTAACCAAAACAGGGGGTAACATGAACCAGGCCCTCCTGGGGCTTATTGTGTAATCTCTCCCACCTGTCTCTCAGTGTGGCCCTGGCTAAATCGCTTTGTCCTAGGATTTTGAGCCACAAGAGACCTTTGAGATTAGCTAGTCCAGCCCCTTCTTTTACAGATGGAGAAACTGGGGCCCGGGAATATAAAGTGACTTGCCTCGGAACGTGGAAACGGCTGCCTCATAAAGGCAGCGAGCTCTCCATCATTGGATTTTCAAGCAAAGGCCAGATGATCAGTGGGATATTGTTCAAGAATAAATTGGACTGGAAGGTTTCTGTGGCCTCTTTCAATTCCAAAAATGTGTAATTCTGTGGTCCTTTCTAGGGGCCTTGCTATGGAAGCTCCTTGAGGGCAGGTACTGTGTGGTTGTGTACCTCCTGTACCTAGTGTGGTGCTTGGCACACCAGAAGTGTTTGTTGGGGCAGCTAGCTGGCATGGTATATACAGCACTGGCCCTAACGTCAGGAAGACCTGAGTTCAAAAGTGGCCTCAGACACTTAGTAGCTGTGTCACCATGGACAAGTCACTTAATTCTGATTGACTGAAAAAAAAAAGAAATTTTGTTGATTGAATAATTGAAGTTCACACTGGTTCCAAATAGCATAAGTGAGATTCAAGCCCAGGTCCTCTGATCCAAAGCTCTAAATTCTTTCTACCATAATTCCAATGCCTTATCAGCCCTTTCACAGAATGATCACTGATAATGATATAACACTTCCTATTTTTTCTTAATTTATATTTATTTCTTTTTAGCATTCTTTTCTTTTGAAATTTTGAGTCCCAAATTCTCTTCCTCCCTCCTATCCCTCCCCCCACCCACTGAGAAAGCAAGCAATGTGCTATGAATTATACATGTGAACGCATGCAAAACATTTCCACATTAGTCATATATTTTTTTTAAAAACCAGGAAAAATAAAGCGAGAAAGTTATACTTCAGTTTGTACTGAGAGTCCATCAGCTCTCTCTGGAGGTGGATAGCATTTTTTCAGTCATGAATCCTCTGGGATTGTCTGGGAGCATTGTATTGATCATAGGAGCCAAGTAAGTCATAGTTGATCATCACTACAACATTGCTGTTACTGTGCACAATGATGTCCCAGTTTTTCTCATTTCACTTTGCATCAGTTCATATAGGTCTTCCATGTTTTTCTGAACCCTCTCTTCATTTCTTATAGCACAATAATATTCCATCATAATCGTGCGCCATATCTTGTTTAGCCATTCCCCAACTGATGAGCATCCCCTTGATTTCCAATTCTTTGCTAGCACAAAAGAGCTGGACATAACACTTAAAAATGTTTCCGGGGACTTCTAGGTGGTACAGTGGATAGAGCACCAGCCCTGGAGTCAGGAGGACCTGAGTCCAAATCCAGCTCAGACACTTGACACTTCTTAGCTGTGGGACCCCAGGCAAGTCACTTAATCCCAATTGTCTCACCAAAAAAAAAAAGTTTCCAAAACACTTTGTATGAATTATCTCATTGGAATTTCACAATAACCCTATTAAGCAGGTATCAGAGATATTATCGTGCCCATTTTCTGGATGGGAAAAAGGAGACTCAGTGAGGTTAAGGCTCAGCAGGTTTGAACCCAGGTTTTCCTGACTCCAAGTCCTCAACTCTCTCTGCTACGTCATCCTGTCTTTCTAAAACCTACTGACTTGGTTCCCTGCTCTGAACAATGGGTTTTCTCATCCTTCCTTCTCTGGTACAGTTGACAGGGTCTAGTTAGACCGGTCCTGAGAGAGGACTCCTTTGCCAGGAAATCTGATCTGCTCGGATTATTGGCTCCCTCTGTTTTCCCCAGATGCTGTCCTGATGCTCTAAGGCAAGAGCTGAACACAAATGGGGAGGGGGGAGGGGAGGGCTGACCTCTGAAGACCCTCAAGTCTTCAGCTGTTTCTTGAACTCGTTGCTTTCTCCCTCCTCACCGCAGTATGCTTTATGATGACAGTGGTGACTCCTGTTCAAGTGGTGACTGGGCTTGGTCCCTCCCTCCCAGCTCCCCTGCCTTCCACTCCTTGCTTCTTCAGAGCTAAGTAGGCTTGTTGGTAGTATCATGTAGGGGAAGGGGGAGAGAGAGAGAGAGAGAGAGAGAGAGAGAGAGAGAGAGAGAGAGAGAGAGAGAGAGAGAGAGAGAGAGAGAGAGAGAGAGAGAGAGAGAGAGAGAGAGAGAGGGAGAGAGGGAGAGAGGAGAGAGGGAGAGAGGGAGAGAGGGAGAGAGGGAGAGAGAGAGGGAGAGAGGAGAGAGAGAGAGAGAGAGGAGAGAGGGAGAGAGGGAGAGAGGGAGGGAGGGAGGGAGGGAGGGAGAGAGAGAAGAGAAGAAGAAGAAGAAGAAGGAGGAGGGGAGAGAGACAAAGACACATAGAGAATATTGAGAGAGAAGAAAGAGAGAGGGGGCAGAGTGACAGAGACAGAGACAGAAAAAGAGAGAGAAAGAGAAAGCTTGTCTTGGAATTAGGGAAGCCGGGATGCAAGGCCTCCATCTGCCATAGGTTGGCTGTGACCCTGGCCAGGGCAAGTCAGCTCACCTCTCAGTGCCCTAAGCAGCTCTCTAAAGCTGTAAAGTTCCAGTAAAATCACAGACTGTTCCTCCCCTCAAAAATGTTTTCTGGCATGAATGTGTGGCACAGTGCCCTGCACGCTGATGGTATTCAGTTGTGCCTAACTCTTCATGAACCCATTTGGGGTTTTCTTGGCAAAGGTTCTAGAGTGGTTTGCCCTTTCCTTCTCCAGCTCATTTTATAGATGAGGAAACTGAGGCAAACAGGGTGAAGTGACTGAGGCCAGACTCAGGATTTCCTGATTCCAGGCCCAATCCTCTATGCACTGTGCCATTTAGCTGCCCCATCCTGTACACAGTAGGTGCTTAATAAGTGTTTGTTCAATGAGTATAAATGAGCTCCTTGAGGATGTGAACCTTTTCATTTCATTTTTGCCTTTGTGACCTCAGTACTAGAGAATGATCATGATGATGGTGATAATGATAACAACAATAATAAAAATAAGCACTTATGTAGTACTTTAGAATTGGTGAGACATTATCTGCTTTGATCCTCACAACAATTCTAGTTATTAGAATAACTGAAATAAGTGGTTTTTTTAATTCAATAAAAGAAGCTAATAGAGTACTTGTGAACTAAATGGGTGCTTGCAGGATGCTATTACTTCTTCCCCAGGCTGAACTTGGTACCAATTCCAAGCACCAATTCAACAATTCAAATCAATAAACATTTATTATCTCCTTACTGTGTACAAATCAATCAATAAAAATATAGACACTGTTTGAGGGTCTGGGTAACTGATTCAACAGTTCTACCAACATTTATCTGCCTACTATGTATAAGTCAATTAGTCAACAGTATTTATTATCCTATTATTATTTATTATTCTATGTTCCAGGAAGTGTATCAGGCATAGAGGATACAAAGAATGCAACCACCTCTATTTGCAAGGAACTGACTTACGTTCTAACAAGGGAGACAATAAGGACATGTATTAACATGTGTGGAATAAATATAAAGTAAATAAATACAAATGAATACCAAGTTGCCAAGTTCAAGGTCGTAAGGGAGGGACTAGCTGTAGCAGTTGTAGGAATCAAGAGAAGATTTGATACCAAAGATGGCACTTGAGCCACGTCTTGAAGGAAGAGGGGGATTCTGTGAGGCAGAGCTGAGGAGAGGGAGCAGTCCAGGCCTGGGGGACGGCCAGTGAATGCACAGAGAGACAGGTGATGGGCACTAGCAGAAGGTGGTATTGGCCAGGATTGCACAGTGCAGGAGGGGGAGAAGATGGTCCAAGGCCAGAGTGTGAAGGGCTTTCACACTAAATGGGAGTTTATATTGGATTCTAGAGGCAAGAGGAAACCATTGGAGTATATTGAACAGGGAATAACATGGTCAGATCTATGTTTAAGGAAAATTACTTTTGGCGGTTACCTGAGCATGACTGAACTGGAGGGAGGCTTGAAGCAGGGAGATCGATGAGGATTTCTTTGCAATAATCTAGACAAAAAATAATGAGGATTAAGGTGGTGCCATGTGAACAGAGAGAAAGGGTTGGCTTCAAAATACATAGAGGTAGAAACAGCTAAGTTTGACACCTAATTGGATATGGAGGGGAGGTGGGAGGGAAAACGTAGCTGAGGGTAATACCGAACTTAGAAACCTGGGAGTCTTTGATGGGAAAAGGGAGATCTGGATCAGGGGAAGGTTTGGAGGGAAAATAATGAATTCATTTTGGACACGATGGTCTTTAGACATCTCTGGATTATACAGTTTTAGATGCCTGATGGACAATTGACGATGCAAGACTGGAGCTCGAGGGGGAAACTAGGACTAGATAGACAGCTCTGTGAATGATTGACATAGCCATTGTTATTCAGTTGTTTCAGTTATGTCTGACTCTTCCTGACCCCATTTGAAGTTTTCTTGGCAAGGAAACTGGAGTGGTTTGCCATTTCCTTCTCCAGCTCATTTTACAGATGAGGGACAAATACAGTTAAGTGACTTGCCCAGAGTTACGCAGCTAGTAAGTGTCTGAAGCTGGATTTGAACTTGGGTCTTCCTGATTCCAGGCCTGGTGCTCTAGTCTCTGTGCCACTTAACTGCCTGATTGACATAGAGTTGAGAATTAAATCCATGGGAAGTCACTAACAGATTTTATAGAGAGAAGGGGCCTAGGACAAAGCTCGGGGGAACACCCACAGTTAGGGTGCTGTGATCTGAGTGATGAAACAATGAAGAAGGAGGGTAGGGAGGGAGGAAAGGAACATAGCACCTGCTATGTTCCAAGCAGCGTGCTAAGCACTTTTACAAATATTATCCCATTTTATCCTCACAACAACTCTGCAAGGTAGCTGGCATTGTCCCCATTTTACAATTGGGGAAACTGGGGCACACAGTGAGGCATCTAGGTGGTGTAGTGGATGGAACACTGGGCCCAGAGTCAAATTTGCTGGGCCAGTCACTTAACCTCTATCTGCCTCATTTTCCTCAACTGTAAAATGGTGATAATAACAGTATCTGCTTGCTAGGGCTGTAGTAAAGATCAAATGAGATAATATTTGTGAAGAGCTTAGCACAAGGCCTGGCACATAGTAGGTGATCAATAAATTCTAGCTGTTATTAGTTATTACTATTTAACAGAAGTTAAGTTCCCAAGGTCAGATTTGAACTCAAGTCTTTCTGGTTCCAGGCCTGGTGCTCTATCCAAAGAAGACTAAGAAAGAATGGTCAGATGGGTGAAAGGAGAATCAAGAGACAATAGTGTCGTGAGTGCCTAGGGAGATTGCATAACAGTGTTTTCAACATTTTAGTCGATAATTTAGCTATCTATAGCAACATCAAATGCAGTATAGTTTAAAAGAAAAAGGATGAGGACTGAAGAAAGACGTTCAGATTTGGGAAATAAGAGATCATTGGTAACTTTAGAGAGAACAGTTTTAATTGAGTTATGAGATCAAAAGTGAGATTGTCACGAGTTATAGAGCGAGAGGAGAGGAAGTGAATGCTTTTTCAATAAGTTTGGCTGAGAAAGGGAGGAAAGATATAGGATGGTAGCCTAGGGGAATGGGAGGGCCTATGGAAGTTTTTGTAAGGAAGGAAAATACTTGAGCATTTTTGAAGGCTCTGGGGAAGGAACCAATAGCTAGGGAGAGACTGAAGATTGGAGGAGAGGGGATGATTGAGATTGCAGGTCTGCTGGAGAAGATGGCAGGGATGGGATCAGAGGCATATGTAGAGGAGGGGCTGGCCTTGGCAAGGAGAAGGGCTGCCTCCTTGGAAGAGATTGGTGGAAGGAATAGAATGGTGTATGATGTCAAGGGGCTTGGAGAGGAAGAAGAGGAAAGGAGGAAGATGTGCCAAAGGATCTCACTTTTCTCCATAGAGTAAGAGACAATGTCATCATTGAAACTTCCCCTTTAATTGTCCTCTGTACGTTCCTTTATGTGACTTGCTCCAGCACCATTAAGGAGAAAGTGAGTAGTCGTGGAGGGAGCAGCTTGTGAGGATAAGCCAAGGCTGATGTGTGGCAAGGGCTGAGCAGTCATAGGAGAAGGGGGAAAGGGTTTGAGACCAGAGGGTGCTGAAAAGAGTGGTGAATTGGATAACTAGAAAATCAAAATCGGAGAGGAGGAAGTCAAGTCAGAGTAGGGGGAAGGGTCTCAGAAAGTAGTGAGGAGTACAGTGATGGAGGTCTCCTTGAGGATGAAGAACGGGGGTTAGGCATAGGGAGAGATAGCATGCTAGGCAGTCATGGTGAACTTGAGGAATGTCAGGGTTTTTAATTATGGAGGTGGAACGCTTATGAAAAATGGTGAGACGCAGTATGTTACCATCTTTGTGAGTGGCTGAGGTGGAGGGGTGGGCCATCGAATTTAAGAAGCCCGAGCCATTGGAAGGTGAGATGGGGGAACATGGCAGAGTATGGTGGCTGAAGTCCCCTTGTACATTTGAGGGAGCACCAATATAGCCACTGAAGTTCTCTTGTGACCTTGGATAAGTTACTTCCCCTCCTTAGGGGTAGGGTTGGACTGTTTGGCCTTGGGTCCCGTCCTGCTCTGGATCAGTAAATTAGGGGAATCAGGAAGGGCCTGCCTGCCTGCCTGCCTTCCTTCCTTCCTTCCTTCCTTCCTTCCTTCCTTCCTTCCTTCCTTCCTTCCTTCCTTCCTTCTGCAATTGAGGTTAAGTGACTTGCCCAGGATCACACAGCTAGGAAGTGTCTGAAGTTGGATTTGAACTAGGGTCCTCCTGACTCTAGGTCTGGTTCCCTGCTCTTTCAAAGCTAGCTCTTCCTCCTGGCTCTAAGATCCAACCTCCTTGGGACTTCTTGCTCTCTCACATTCCAATCTGTCACCTCCCTCTTCCTGGGCTCTGATGGGAGAGTTGGAAAAGAAGGCACATGGTCAAATACAGAGTTTCCCCAACTTGGGACTACTTTGGTAACCAAGGAGGAAGAGAAAGTTGGAGATGAGGTTTTCTCTCTGTCTCCCATTCTTCTGCCTGTTCTCTTAAAGGGCTAGGCTGTCCCCATGGCCTTCTTATCCAGCAGTTAAAAGAACCCAAGGTAGAATGAACTCTGTCATGAGTCAGGTCTCTCCTCCCTACTCTGCTGTCGTGAGAGCTGACACTCAGGAAAACGTGGAGAAAACATTCCCCTACCGGTAGCGTTCCTTGCTGTCTGCACCAGTGAGGTCCACTTCCGCTGCTCTCCTCGGCACCCTGTGAATGTGTAGAGGGAGGGTTCTGTTGTTATGACAACAGAAGGCTTGCACTTCTATTTTCCACACACAGTGAGGAGCTGGCTTGCTAGAACATTTAGTGAGGAGATGTTTTGTCACCCCTAGCTCCCGTGAAGTATTCAGTAAGTGTCTTTGAGTTAGGACAATAATGAGAAGCCTCCTGATGTAGTGAAAAGACCTTTGGTTTTAGAGTTGAGGACCATGGTCTGCATACTGGCTCAGTGGAAGCTTTTTACTTGTTTAATAATAAGACCTTGTTGTCATTCAGTTGTGTTTAACTCTTTGTGATTCCCATTGGGTTTTTCTTGGCAGAGATCCTAGAGTGGTTTTTTATTTCCTTCACCAGCTCATTTTACATATGAGGAAACTGAGGCAAACAGGGTTAAATGACTTGCCCAGGGTCACACAGCTAGGAAATGTCTGAGGCCAGATTTGGACTTGGGAAGATGAGTCCACATGACTCCAGGGCTGGCACTTCATCCAGTGTGCCACCTAACTGCCCCAGACCTAGCATTTATATATTAAATAACCCTTGAAGGCTTGCAGGAAATCTCCTGACTCTCACTAGCTGTGTGGGCAGATCACTTAACTACTTTGGCCCTCAGTTTCCTCATCTATAAAATAAGGGGAGTGGACCAGAAGATGTCTAAAGGCTTTTCCTACTGTAAAGCTATGATTCCTTCATTTTATAGGGGAGTAAACTGAGGTCCAGAGGGGAGAAATGACCATGGCCACGATCATTATTAAGCACCTGCTATTTTCCAGGCGTGATTCTAGGACCTGGAGATAAAAAGACAAAAGCGAAAAAAAAGTCCATGTCAAAGACCTTACAATTTAGTGAGGGGAGTGTGTGTGTGTGTGTGTGTGTGTGTGTGTGTGTGTGTGTATGTATGTGTGTGCATGAAACAAGATCGTTTTGTGGGCTGGGGAAGGCACAGAGGGGAACTGTGACATCAGGAAAGGCCTCAGGTAGAAGGTGGGGCTTGAAAGATGCCTCTAAAGGTAGAGGTGAGAAGGGCTTAGTACAGTGCCTGGCACACAGTAGGCACTTAATAAATGTTTATTGACTGGCTCTAAGCATAGGGGACGGCCAGTGCAAAGACCCAGAGATGGACGCCGGAGGGGGCGTACATAAGGAATGGTAAGAGGCCTGGTTTAGTCATGCTGCCCTAGATAAGTGGGGATGGAGAGACTCAATGGGTCTAGAAAGCTCATTTAGCTATGCTATTGCAGTGAAAAAAACCAAGCTGCTAATTGAGGCTGGGACATTTATGGAGCCCAGCCAGCTGTTTTGCAAGATCTGCCTCCCTCCCAGGTCCCTTCCAGATCTAACGTTTGCAATGGCCAATGATTTCCTCAGTGTGGGAACTTTCCCAAGGCAGATCACACACACAACTTGTCTGTAACTTGTAGCCTGACACTCAGAGGTGTTGGTGATTTGCCTGGTTACCCAGATTGTAAGTGACAGAGGGAGAATTCGAACTCATGTCTTCTGGCTACTGAGGCAGTGGTCTTTCTGTTGAATGCACGACAAATGCCATTAAGGTAGGGAGGCACTTTTCTGTCACTGGATCCAGATGATCCCAGGCAGCATTCTGGTTTATATGGATAAAGTCGCTTTTACCTTGAAAACCATTGCATTTGTGGATTAGAAGGGACCTAGACAGGTCATCTCAGCTAATGGGGCAGGGCCTTACCTGTGCTTTCCTACCTGTGGTAGGAGGCAGGGGCTCTTTCTGCCACCGATGTAAAGAGCTGGTTCTTTCCTTGGCCGGTGCCTCCTTACCCTTCCCTAGAGGAGGGGAGGTTGCTGTTTTTTTAAGGAAGCCCAGAGAAGGGTGAAATAAAACTGGCTCTTTATTGATTTGACAGCCTTCCATTATCTGGAGCCTTTGGGGAGGAGTTGGAGGAGTGTTTGCCTAGAGAGACAATTAATGGTCCCAGCTGCCAAGTTCACAGTCAGACTCCCTTAGTCAGGAGCTGGGCAGCGGAGGGAAAGCAAGCTTTTCTAGTTAGAGGAAAGGGGGGCATGGAAGCCCAGATGGAGTGTGCTGCCTAGGGCTTGCAGGGCAGACTTCAGACTGGGCTGCATGTGGTTCAGTCTTTGCCGGCAGGTGGACCCAATGACCTTGGCATTCATCAGAAATGGGGTGTTGGGGCCTCTGCTGCAGTTGTCTGGTGGTTGTGAGGCATGCAGGTAGGTGCTGAATCTTGGGGTGGCAACAGAAGGTGGCAGTGGGCATGGAATGGGAGGGGAGGGATCCCTAGAAATTTGGGTGAGCCTAGGAGGAGATGAAGAGTCTTGGTAACAAAGATGTGGTGTGGATCAGGGGGTACTTCGAGGCTGTTTTGTGCATGGGGGTCTCATGGATGTCAATGCACATGTACTGTTCCCGCTGTGATCACCAAAGTATCCAGGATCTGAGAAGAAGAAACAGTCTAAAATATCAAATGATTGGCATTTATACAGTATACCCCTTTGAGGTTTACAAAGTGCTTTGCATGTGATCTCATTTGACCTTCAAAAATACTCTTTAAATTAGATGTTTTAATTAACCCCATTTTACAGATGAGGAAAACAGAGGTAGAAGAGACTTGCTCTCTGCATCAGGTATTACAGGCTGAGGCAGTATTCACAGCTAGGTGGCGCCAGTGTGCAGAGCATTGGGGCCAGGAGTTAGGAAGGCCTGAGTTCATTCATAATCTGGTTTTAGATACTTTTACCAGCCGTGTGACCCTGGGCAGAGCACTTCACCCCTGCCTCAGTTTCCTCATCTGTAAAGTGGGGATAATAATAGCATCTACGTCCCAGAGTTATTGTGAGGATTTAATGAGATAATATTTGCAAAGTACATAGCGGCAGTGTCTGGTACGTTCTAAGTGCTATATAAATGTTAGCTATTATTGTTATAATTAGGATGATCTGCATTCACATCTTCTGACGATAGCTGTGTGACTCTGGCCAAGTCACGGAACCTCTGTCTGCCTCAGTTTCCTTATCTGTAAAGTGGGGATAATAATAGCGTCAATCTCCCAGAGTTTTTATGAGGATTAAATGAGACAATATTTGTAAAATGCTTTGCAAACTCTGAAGTACTATTTATGTTATTATTATGCATGGCTACATAATGATAGCTCCGTAGCTATTATCATTATTATCATTATGATTGTTATCTCCATTGGAGGAGAGTGTGGACAGCATAAAGAAGGGAATCCGTATGGAAGAGATACCAGGTAACTTCAGAGGAGAAGGCATTGGTGACTGGGGGACTCTGGGAGGCCTCTTGGAGAAGGTGGCATCTGGGCTGAGTCTTGAAGGAAGCCAAGGATGCTAAGAGCTTGATGAAAGGAGGGAGGGCATTCTGGGCACCGGGACATAGCCCATGCAAAAGCCTGGAAGCAGGAATGAAGACTCATGTACGAAGAACAGCAATTGTTTGGACCAAAGAGTGTGTGCATGGAAGGGAGGCAGGTCTAAGGAGACAGAAGTGTAGGAAGAGGCCGTGTTGGGAAGAGCTTTAGATAACAAACTGTAGTTTATGTCCTGGATCAGGGGTGGGGAGCCTGCATCCTTGAGGCCATACATGGCCCTCCAGGTCCTCAAGTGCGGCCCTTGGACAGAATCCAAACTACACAGAACAAATCCCCTTAAGAAAAGGATTTGTTCTGTAAAACGTAGACTCAGTCAAAAGTCCTCACCCAAGGACCTAGAGGGCCACATGTGGCCTTGAGGCTGCTGGCTCTCCAGGTAAATCTCTATTGGAGATTATTGAGGAGGGGGCACTTGAGTTGCGTGCTAATGACTTACTACAGCCCAGTAGACCAGGCCTCTGTTTCTCCTTATTTTGTGTGTCCAGGGGCACACTGCCTGGGACTTTGAGCCGTAGGCAGAGGAATTCACACAGTCCTGGCTTGGAAGGGTCCAGCTCCCTCCTGTTGTGTTTGGTGGTGGGGAGCACCAGTCCCTCCAAAGAAGAGGGCAGCCTCCTTAACGATGTGGGGCCTCGCGGGCTGCAGCTGGATGTTGCGTGGGAGGCAGCGGCCCATATGGCTCCCCTCAGAGCTCAGCAAATGGGCAGCCAGAGCCCTGTCCATCCCTCTTCCTTTCAACCCTACTATCCCATGACCGCCAAGTGGGGAGTCCAGCGGTCCGAGTAAGAATGGCTTGTGCTGCTTAGAGCCTAATAGCGGCAACTTCCTTTCCTCTATTTCTTTATAACTTCATGGCACTTTACTCACTGCAGTTCTGTTGGTAGAGAAGTCAAGTAATGAACAAGCATTTATTAAGCACTTACAGTATACCAAGCATCATGCTAAGCACTGGAGATACAAAGAAAGTAGAAAAACCTCACAGTACTGACCTCAAGTAGCTCATAATCTAATGGGGAGACAATTACAATTTTATAATAATAATAATAATGACAATAATGGTGATTCATTTATATATCACTTTAAGGTTTGCAAAGCATTTTTAAAATGTTAGAGCATTGGATTCTCACAACTATGCTCAGAGGTAGGGGGCTATTTTACAGATGAGGAAACTGAGGCAGGCAGAAATTGAATCACTCTTATCTCATAGTTAGGAAGTGATCAGTATTCAACCCAGGGCTCTCACCCACTCACTGTGCCACCCAGCTGCCTCCCTTGGGCTTCCCCAGATGTTGCCAGAGGGGGCTGTGACTCAGAAGATGTGAAGACCCCCTGCTCTGGCTAATCTCCATTCCCTGGCCCACAGAGAAGCCTACTGGCTCTTAGAGCCTGGGGCAGGGGATAGCCACTCTCCCTTGTCATGAGTCACCCATCCCTTCAGATGCATTGCAGGCCCAGGCAGGCACAAGCTCCTTCTTTGGGACTCACACGGTCCATGTACATCCTTACATAGGACGTTGGCTGCCCCTCCAGGCCACCCCAGCAGGAGAGCATTTATACTGGCATCCCTGATCTTTCCAGCCTGAAAGGAAAACCAAGTGAACTCATGACTATAAAGCATTTTGCAACTTTCAAGGCAGTTGTTACTATTTTGACCTCCCCTCCTCTCATCTCGGGGTACTTTGTGCTCCTCTTCTGTCCCTCTTTTTCTGGTATGTATTATATTTCTCAGTGTGCACGTCTTTTGTGAGAGTCAGAATGGCTTCATGAATTGCTGGCTGGCAGGTGGGAAGCTCTGGATTCCAATCCTGATCTGTAATGAAGCTGGCTGACCTCGATATGTCTCAGTTTAATTCTCAAAGACGAAATTGCTGCAGCTTGTGGTGGGAGTATTCATATGGTGAGTTCCCTACCCTGATGAACTCACAAGGTCCTAATCCTTGCCTTCCAACACTTTTCCCCACCTCCCTCAATTACTGTTCCTACGAAGGAAGAAGCATTTATTAATCGCTATGTGCCGCCGAGTGCTGCACTAGCCATTGGGCTTACAAATTCGGAAGCAGGGGTCTTCCTTGCTTAGGAGGAGAACTTACATTTTACTGGGGGAAACTATAGTTATCCCTTCAACATCGTGACTTTCCTCATCGTGGGGAGGACCAAAAATTTTTATTTGGATTTTCCAGATTGAGGCAGTACCATTCCCCTAACCCCAGTGATGTGGAAGGGATAATTGTACTCATTTAAGAGAGGGGTGGCCAGAACGAGGCACTTTGATCATAGGAGGGAGACCACTGTGGCGGAGACTGCACACTCCATCAAGGAACAATGGCAGAGTTAATTTGATCCCAGGTTCCAGGAGGGGTGCTAGAGAGGGAGGGAAGAGTGCTGAAGCATAGATAAAGAGTTGCTGAACTAGCATGGGGGAGGGGGTCATCAAGCTGGAGGTGGAGTTGTGTGTGGGAGGAGGGGGCAATCCCCGTTTCCACTGTGGTGGTTGAGGAGGGGGTGGCTAGGAGGAAGGAAATCATAGGGTATAGAGCTTGGAGCTACCTCCTTAAGAATCATTCAATCCATCCGCCTCCTGATGGTACTGAGGATTTGAAAGGTCATGGTCATACTTTGTAAGTGACTCCCAGTATTCAACCCCAAGTTTTATAACTTCAAAAAGCAGGTGCTTTCCCCACCAAAGTACGGGGTGATATAGTACAATTAATTAACATGAGATTTGAAATCTCAAAACTTGGGTTCAAATATTGACCCCAAATACTTAATAGCTGGGTGATTGTGGGCAAGACTGGACTAGTTGACCCAAACCCTAAGTGACTGATAATGCTTGTGGCCTTCCCTTGATTTGATCTCTAAAGTCCCTTCAAAATTTAAATCCCCAAATCCTATGACCTGGATTCAAATTCAGCCTGGCAGGACTACAAGCATTTATCAAGGTTTTATTATTATGTCCTAGGCTCTGGGAGATACAAATACAAGCAAAAAGAAAGACAGTCCCTGTCCTTAAGAAAGTTCCATTCTAGCAAGGGAAAACTATGCCCAAAAGGGAGGTGAAAAGATGGCCCCAGGAAGAGAGCGGGCTTGGTGTAGCCATGTGCCTATGGGCAAGTCAAGGACAGAGGATTGGCAGAGGTCACCTTATTAAGAAGCTGGCCCAGAGAAAGGAAGTGACTGAAAGTCATTTAACCCCTCTGAGCCTCAGTTTTAAATTCTGTAAAATGAACCTACTTCAGGAGATTCTTATGAAGAAAGTACTTTATAAACTATAAAACATTATAGAAATAGGAGTTATTACTATTAGTATTTTTGTTATAAAATGGGGACAATAATATTTGTTTAAACTGTGTCATTGGTCCTTTTTAGAAAGGGATGTTGCGGTCTAGGGGTGCTAATGACATGAGTCATGCCTAGAAAGAATTTGACTCAAGCCTTCTTTCAGTGAGAGACAAGGTTTATTAAAACACCGGCTGGAGCAGGCGAGATTCCTAGTGAGTCTGTGCTGTTGGCCAGATTTTAAGAATCTGAGCAATTTAATGGAGGCAAGATGGGCCTGTTATACAGAAAGACTGTGGGAAGATTTAGATGTGATCTGGGAGTGGCCAAATAGTCTGGACTGACTGGGAGGTAGTGGCAGTCTAGGGTGGGGCCAGGTGCAGACAGTGAGGGCCACAACAAAAGGGTAGTTGGAAGGATTAAGTAGGAAGGGCTGGGCCACATGGGAAAGTCCAGGGCCTTTTAGGGGTCCATCATTAGCGCTCCATCAGGCGGATTGATAAATCTTCTAAGTGCTGTAAAAATGTGATTTCTTATTCTTATTCTTAGATTATTCAAGATGACATATGAGTGAATACGATGGGACTTGTGATTTTTTTGTCTTGGGGGAAGCTCAGCTTCTGGACCTGTGGGAAGTCTTTCAGAAAGCTGATGGATAGCACCCAGAGCTCTGTATGCTTTAGAAGACAGGTTCTTGAGATTTTCCCCAGGCTCTGAGGGCCGTCACTTGGCCAAGGTCACACAGCCCGGAGGAGAGAGAGGGAAGGATTTCAACCCAGATTTGCTGACTCCTTGCTCTTCCCTGGATGGATTAGGTCCTCTCACTTTATAGACTATTTATTATTTTATTTGATCATGTGCTAAGCTCTCCTGACTGATGGGTGAGTGAGAGAAACCTTGCCTGCCCTGGGACATCCCACCCACCCAAGACTGTGCTTCTGTGTCTCTGTCACCCAAGACCATGCTTTGTCACCCATTCAGCCGGCATGGGCATATCCAGCCTGCTACCACCCTTCACCTCTGCTTTTTCCATCATTTGATCTTGCTCTGGGAACAATAATTGATCCATTGAAACTTCATTCAACTATCATTTATTATTATGCCATTTATTATAGGAGTCTACTCTGTGCTAGGCAGGGCAGCTAGACGGCACAGTAGATAGAGCATCAGGCTTGGAGTCAGGAAGACCTGAGTTCAAATTCAACTTCAGACACTAGCCATGTAACTCTAAGCAAAGTCACTTCACCTGGTTTGCCTCAGTCTCCTTATCTGTCAAATGAGTTGGAGAAGGAAATGGCAAACCACTCCAGTATCTTTGCCAAGAAAGCCCCAAATGGGGTCACAGAGAATTGGACACAATTGAAAAATAACTAAACAGTGTGCTAGGCACTGAGGATGCAAAGAGCAAAAAAATGACATTCCCTACCCTCAAGGATCTTACATACTATCATGTACATGTATCAGTCTATGTAAAATATAAGCAAAATAAATACAAGGGATTTTTTTTTTTGAGGAGAGGCTCCTAATCTTTGGAGTGGGGGAGAGGACCCAGGAAAAGGCTCCAAGCTCCCATTGCTACTGGGAAAGGGTATGACAGTGCTGCCAATGATTCCACTCCCCATCCCTGTGCCTCACTGGACCTACACTCCCTTTCTCAGCCCCTCTCCCCTCTATGCACCGTTCCCTCTTAAGTGTATATAACGTCTTTGAGGATGGTTTCTCTTTTGTCCCTGAATCCTCAATGCGTAACACATTAGTGGCTGATAGCTAGCTGTTTCAGTTTGCAAAGTGCTTTCCAATGATTACCTCATAATAGTAACAAGTATGGTAATTAATAATGATGTAATTAAGATCTCATAATAGCTCATTTTATCTCCACAACAGCCTTTGGAAGTAGGTACTATTATTATCTGTGTTAACGGAGGAAACTGAGTCAGATGATGGTAATTTGCCCAGGCTGGGGGTGGGAGGGGAGGTCACACAACTACTGAGTGTCTGAGGCAGGATTTGAATTGGAGTCTTTCAAACTCCAAGCCTGCCTAATGAGTGCTAGTCTATCCATTTCCTTTATATGCTCCTTGGGGTTAGGAGCCTTGCTTTTCCAATGTATCTTCCCTAGTGAATTATACAAAGGCCTTTTTGATATTTTAGCGAATGTATGTTCTCACCAAGTGTGGGTGCCCCCCTCTGCTGGCGTGCAGGCCAGTCATCCAGTGCCCTTTCCTAATTCACAAAGGCTGTATCCATCCTCCATGCTGACACATTGCAAAATGTAGGTGCAGAATAATTATTTGTTGAATGAATGAATGAATCGATGAATGAATGAATGAATCGATGAATGAATGAATGAATGAATGAATCGATGAATGAATGAATGGATGGATGGATGAATGAATGAATGGATGGATGGATGAATGAATGGATGGATAGATGGATGAATGAATGAATGAATGAATGGATGGATGGATGGATGGATGGTGAGTATTGAGTTGATCTACAGTTATAGCTAGGGAGGATAACAAGAACTTCTGTGCCTGTTTACTTTATACTTTCCAAAGTACTTTCGTGTGTATTGTTATATGAAACTTACCACCCTGTGAGTCAGGCTGGCAATATTATTCTCATTTTCAAATGAAGAAACTGAGCCCTGGAACGTGCAGTTTACTGAGGATTACATGATGGGTTCCTGGCAATGTTGGGCTGGAGTCAGGTCCCCTGATTTCTATCCCCTGCTTTGATGGTGGCCTGGCCCTGATGGGTGGGTTAACCCCTGCCTATTCTGCCAGGCTTGTGCCCTTGGGGTCCTGGTTCCCTCGCTCAGGCTGTTTTCTGCCCTCTCCAGCCTTGTGGTGTCTGTCCCCCTTGCAGGATCCTGGCGGTGGTGAGCAATGGAGAAGCCGTGGGAGCCGGGATTCGGCGTTCCAGCTGGAAGCAGAAGAGCTCTCGCCGAGGTAGGGCATCCTTGGGATTGGAGGGTGGGGGAGATTCAAATGTATGAGAGGCTTTCTCTTGAAAGAGGATGGGGCTGCTGACTTTTATCTCTGAGCTAGGATTCTAGCTCTGGGGACAGGAATCTGTGTGATAAAGAAAGGTGCCTGTAAAAGTTGTCAGAGGGTCATCCTTAATGAGAGAGGAAGGGTCATATCACCATTGGGCCCTAGAGCCTTAGGGCCATATGAATATTGGGTCTTAGAGTCTAAGGGCTAAAGGACCATTGGCTGTCATGCCATGGAGTTATAGAACTAGAGAACCATAGACTGATAGAAGCATAGACTGGGGGGTGATGATGTAGGGTGTCAGGGCACAGCTAACTCCCTACATTTTTCTGAATCTTGTCCCTTGGCAGAGACAGAATGGACCATCTGCCCATTGATGGGAGAGCTGGGGGTTGGGCCCCTTGGGGGGATGATGAGTTTATGGATTTCATCCTGTACCATCTAAGTCTGGTTAAGTGACGAGTTGGACTTTGTTGTCCCAGTGTGCTAAGGAAGCCCAGCTTACCTGGGAGTTGGGGAGAGAAAAGTCCCCCTCTGCAATGGTGCCCTGGGAGGCGGGGCTGGCTCTGCCTGGGTCTCCTTCTGGAAGCAGCTTTAGCCTTTCTTACTTAGGTGGCACTCATCCCTGGGAAGGATGGCCTGGGACTGTCTGGGGCCTCTTGGGAGACCTTCTCTACCAGGGGCTCAGAGGCTCTGCTGGTTGTCTGGCTGGGCTGGTAGCTGCTCATAGATTGCAGGAAGGAAGGTGGGTGGGGCAAGGAGAAGGCCTTGGTAGCTGATGCCTGACTGCAGAGGAGATGGTGGAGGGGGGTGGTGAGGGGAGAGGTGATTTAGCTAATAGCCATTAGGGTGAGCCTTCTCTGTCTGACTCTCTCTCATCCCATCCTTTCCCTCTCTCTTCTGCTGAAGCCTTCAGGGCTGATGATTCCAATGTCAGGGCATCGGGAGGGACATTCAGGATGCAGCTGAGGCTGCCAGCCTGGTGCCTGAGCTCCCAGCAAAGTGGGAGCTGGCAGCTGGTGCAGCCCTGATGTCAGCCTGAAGGGCCCCTCCCCAGCAGCGAGCCAGAGTCACTCCAATGTTGACGTTCCTTTCTCTTTCTCTGTCTCTGCCTCTCTGCCTCTGTCTGTCTCTCTCCCCTTCCCTCCCTCTCTCTTCACTCTCCAGTTGACCGTTTCACCTTCCCCATCCTGGAAGAAGATGTGATTTATGATGACGTGCCCTGCGAGAATCTGGACTCTCAAAAGCACGGTATGGTCTGCTGCGATTGTTTTGGGAATGGAGCAAAGGGCTGTCTTGGGAGGGCCCTCCTGGTCCTGGTCCTGGTCCTGGCCCTGGTACTGGTCCTGGATCTTCTCGGCCCACAACCTGAGGCTTCTTCAGCTTGTTTTGAAAAACTACATCAGTTCATTCATCCAATCTCAGTTCAGAGACTGCTGGAGCTTGAAGGGACCTTCGTAATAATGATGATGATGGTGATACGTAGTATTTAGCAAGTGCTTGCTGTGTGCCAGGCTCTGAGCGTAGGGCTTTACAAATATCTCAGAGCATCACAGCAATCACAGCAATCCAAGCAGGCAGGTGCTGTTATTATCCTCATGTTAGAATGTGTTATATGTTACCTGAGAATAGAGAATGGCAGAACTGGGAGGGAGCTTAGAACCCAGAATGTCAGAGCTGGGAGGGGCCTTAGAACACAGGATGTCAGAACTGAGAGGATCCTTAGAATATAAAATGTCAGAGCTGGGAGGGGCCTTAGAACACAGAATGTCATATTAGGGGGGAGCTTAGAACCCAGAATGTCAGAACTGGAGGGTCCTCAGAACATAAAATGTCAGAGCTGGGAGGAACCTTAGAACCCAGAATGTCAGAACTGGGAGGGGCCTTAGAACACAGGATGTCAGAGCTGGGAGGAACCTTAGAACCCAGAATGTCAGAGCTGGGAGGGGCCTTAGAACACAGAATGTCAGAGCTGGGAGGGGCCTTAGAACACAGAATGTCAGAGCTGGGAGGGTCCTTTCAGGACCTAGAACAGAGGTTCCTATCCTGAGGTTCATGAACTTGTTTAAAAAAAATTTGATAACTAAATTTCATTATAACTGGTTTCCTTTGTAATCTTGTATGTTTTATTTTTTGCATTTAAGACCATTGCTTTGTGAGGGGATCTGTAGGCTTCACCAGACTGCTAGAGGAGTCTATGACATCCAACAGGTTAAATGCCCCAGACCTAAGACTTCTTTTTCTAGGGGCAGCTAGGTGGTGCAGTGGATAGAGCACTTGCCCTGAAGTCAGGAGTATCTGAGTTCAAATCTGGCCTCAGACTAAACACTTGACACTTACTAGCTGTGTGACACGGGGCAAGTCACTTAACCCCAATTGCCTTAAAAAAAAAGATTTCTTTTTCCCAAGCTGCCCCTGGAATGCAAAGGTCATTAAACACTTAGTTGATGGTCTTGGAATCCCAGTCTCTAAGGTGTTCTTTTAGAGGCTATACATGGGAAGAATACGTAGAGAGGAATTTGGGAGACCGGGGTTCAGCTTTCAGCACTGAAATTTGCCAGACACATGAAATTAAGTAACAATTCATCTCCCATAAGGTGGAAGTGAGGGTGCCTGCCCTGAATAGCTCTTTGTGTTGTAAGAATATTGCCTCAGGGGCAGCTAGGTGGCACAGTGGATAGAGCTCAGGCCTCGGAGGCAGGAGGACCTGAGTTCAAATTCGCCCTCAGACACATGGCACTAGCTGTGTGACCTGGAGTACGTCACTTAATCCCGATTGCCTCACCAAAAAGCAAAGAAAGAAATTACTTCATAGAGAGGTAACAGGGAGGAGTAAACAGAGGGCATGCCTCAGAGTCACGAGGACCTGGGTTCGAGTCCTGTCTCTTGCACATAACTGTTGGCTGTATGACCCTGGGTAGGTCACTTAACCTCCCAATACTCCAGGCACCCCTCTAAGACTGGAAGTTGTAGAACAATCAGCTCATTTCAAGTCCCACCATCTATAGTAAGCCTTTCCTGACCCCGATCAATGCGGTGCCTTCTCTAGCGCCTTATCGTGATCAGTGCTAGTTTGCACTTAGTTGCTTGTATGCGGCCCCCTCTATTAGACCGAGCTCTATGAGCACAGGAAGGATTTGTTCCATCTTTGCATGTCCAGTGCTTAGCACATTGCCTGGCATACAGTAGGTGCTTAATAAATGCTCATTCACTGACCCTGACTGACATGCATTGGTCGAAGGAGTTTATTCACGAGTAATTCCTCTACCGATGAAACCACAGACGTAGGAAAAAAAAAGATACTTTGTAAACTCCAAAACTCTATATACATAGGAGCTTTAATGATAATTATCAGCATATTCCTGATAATATTGATGATCATTCTCGACTCTCTGTTGACGTTTTCAGAGAGGAATATTGGCTTCCGGTTAGATACCAGGCCTGTGTGTTTTTTGACTGTGTTGGAGTTTGAATTTTCATCTCCATATACGTAAACTTGGAGAAGACCAGGGTTTGAATCCTAACTCTCTCCCTACTAACTGGGTCATGTTGCCAAGTCACTTCCCCTCTTAGGGCCTTCTTTTTAAAATGAAGTCATTTGGACTCAGTGACCAAAGTGGTGTCAGACTCAAACAGAAATGGATCCTTGGGTGACACTGACCTAGAAAACCTCAAATTAACAATATCTTTGAATTGTATTTTTATTTTGTTAAACATTTTTCAATTACATTTTAATCTGGTTCGGCCCCTACTTTTAGGGCTTGCAGCCAGTGAACACTTCTCATCTAGAGGGTCCATGTGAGTTGTAAGTCCTAGGGTCCCAAGCAAATAAAAGTGCTCTTCTATATGCCTGATGGTGGCAATGGACCAGTCATGAGACAGGGAGCCATATATAATAACAGGACAGCTAGGTGGTGCCATGGTGCACTCATCTTCCTGAGCTCAAATTTGGCCTCAGGCAATTACTAGCTGTGTGACCCTGGGCAAGTCACTTCACCCTGTTTGCCTCAGTTTCCTCATCTGTTAAAATTATCAGAAGAAGGAAATGACAAACCACTATAGTACCTTTACCAAGAAAACCCCAAATGGGGTCATGAAGAGCTGGGCATGACTGAAAAATGATCGAACAACAAAATATGATAACAAAAGGTTCCATTTCTATGGTGAAATAAGGCAGTGCAGACTAGTCTTTGAACCTCACAATGAGCCTATAGGAACTTCAGGGATTAACATCCCCATATATCTAGCTAACATTTTTGTAAGTGCTATATAAATGTGCCAGTCATTGGGCTAAGCACTTTATAATTATTATCTCATTTGAAACTCACAACAACCTTTGGGAAGTAGGGACTGTTTTTATCCCCATTTTATAGATGTGGAAACCGAGGCAATCAGAGTTAGGGGACTTGCCCAGGGTCACATAGCTATTAAGTGTTTGTGGCTGGATTTGAACTCAGTCCTTCCTTACTCCAGGCCTGGTGCTCTATCCATTGGGTCAACCAGCTGCCATGCCTAACAAAAGAGGAAACAGCCCCACAGATGGGAAACGACTTTCTCCCAGGCATGTAGCTGAAAAGTAGAGCCTACTAGAAGTAGGGAACGGAACCAGGTCATTCCTAGCTTGAAGTCCAGTGCTATTTGTCTGAACCAGTCATAGAACAATATTCCAGATGATGTGACCGAGCTGTGGCCACATCCGCGGCTCTTTCAGCTCTTAGCACAGGGCCAGGCACATGGTCGGTGCTTAGTAAATGATCATTCTTTTCCCTTCTCTTCTGCACAGTGAGCATCGTAACGCATCGCTCATCTCATAGTTGTTGTTCTTTTAAATGAGCCTGTCAGTGGATTAACGAATATTTTTTAAAGTGCTTAATATGTGCCGGTAGCTGGGCAGACAAAAGCCAAAAGCTAGACAGCCCCTGCCCTCGAGGAGCTTACATTCTACCAGGGAAACTACACATAAACATTTATAATTATATTTATATGCACACATATGTATGTATGTATGTATACATACATATGCACCAGGCATATAGAAAACACAAAATGTAAATATGTAATGCCATATTGTATATATAAATAAATTTATGCACATGTGCATATAAATATAAAATACATGCACTTGTTATATAAATATAAATGTTATTTTATGACGTCAGAAGGCAAGAGGCACACGTATGAAAGCAGGCCCTGCCCTCAAGGAGCTTACACTCTAATGGGGGAGACAGCATATAAACAGACGTGTACATTACATATATGATATACGTTATATATATGATACACATAGAACAGAAGGAAGGTAACTTTGAGGGACAGGCTCCAGTAGGTTGCTCTAGTCTCTGAGAAGAGATTTGAAATTTAGTTGAGACCCATGGTCCCCGCCTTCCCAGAGCCTTGAATATAGTAACCAGCTAATAAATCTTGGATTGCATTGAATGGAGCTCACAGTGTGGTAGGGAAATGCGACAATCTCCCTCCCCCCACCCCCAATCACCAGACTATCTCTAGTTTGGGCCCCAAAGGTACAAACACGGAGCTAGGAAGCCTGGGAGTGGGAGGGCGAATGATTTAGGAAACCAGTGGCTTTGCCTGAAAGGTCACTGTGCGACCTTTTGTTATTATATTTTGATTAAAACGGTCTCCTCATCACCAGGCTGGGCTGCCAGTGAAGCTTTGATTAAATTACTGATTTTTTTTTTTCTGCTGACACAGCCCTTCCTCCCCCTAGATGGGAGGTGAGGTCTAGGGAGGGACCTCCTCTCAGGCTGACCATCTGTTTTTCCTTTCTGGACTGGAAGGGAGATGAAGGCTGCCCATCTAGGTGGGGCCTCTGGCTGGTGGAGGGCTGGGAAGAGAAGGTAGTGGCTGCTGGCCCTGTTAGCTAGACAGAACCCCTCTACCTTGCAGCCCTCTGGGATGGACAGGCAGGGCTTTCGTACTGAGGTGCTGGGAAAAGGGACCTTGGGACCTGAGTAAAGATTTCTGACTGAACCATACAGTTTTCTCAGAGACATTATCATATTTCAGGTTTCTAGTATCTTCTCTCTTCCTGCATATCATTTCTCTATTTGCCTCTGATCTGTCTCTGATCTTTCTCTCTCTATTTCTCTCTCTCACACATATCACACACACACACACACACACACACACACACACACACACACACACACACACACACACACACACACACACACACACACTAACAGGAATGTGAATGAATGAATGAATGAAAAATGCATTTTTTTGGTGCTTACTTTAGTGTGCCAGATGCCAGGGTATAGATGGAAAATCAAGGCGTCCCTGCTCCCTTTGAAAGGCGAGAGGTCACACATACTAGAGGGTTGAGCATTAGGCAGTTGGAAGAGCCTGCTGGCCTTTAAGGTTCAGTCGTAGGGAGGATGGCAAGGCCAGGGTGAATGATGCATTGTTGGAATGCATTAAAGGTAAGATATGAAGCTCTCTGAATGAATGCATTCCCATTTTGATGGAGTAATCATTTGCACAACTGAACTAAAATTCCCTTAATTTGAACAAGTTATATTTTAATTCCATAGGCTTAATAAGTTTACTCTTCTCATTTTCAAAGAAACAACAAAAACCTTGAGGTGCTGGGTTCTGGGCCCGGAATCAGGAAGACATGAGTTCAAATCTGGCTTCATATACTGACTAGCTGTGTGACCCTGGGCAAGTCACTTAACCTTTGTTTGCCTCACTTTGCTCATCTGTAAAATGGGGATGATAATAATAGCCCCTTTCTCCTAGGGCTGTTGTGCGGATCGAATGAGATAATAATTATAAAGTACTTAGCACATAGTAAGGGCTATCATTAAATAAGATGATAGGATTTAGAGCTGGAAGAGGCCTTGGAAGTACCCTACTCTTATAGCCCCATTTTATAGATCAGGAAACTGAAGACCACACAGGGGAGATGATTTATTCAAGGTTACATAGGTAATAGGGAGCAGAGCCAGAATTTGACTTCCTTCCTTCCTTCCTTCCTTCCTTCCTTCCTTCCTTCCTTCCTTCCTTCCTTCCTTCCTTCCTTCCTTCCTTCCTTCCTTCCTTCCTTCCTTCCTTCCTTCCTTCCTTTTTTTTCCTTCCTTCCTTCCTGACTTGGTTTTATGTTTAGGTCTTCTGCAATATTTTAGGATTGCCCATCTCTTGTCTAGGCAGTCAGTGGACGTTGGTCTTACCCAGTTTGCGTCATTCATAAATATAGTCAACATCCCTCAGCTCATTATTAAAAATAGTTTAAGGAGAGATCTTTGGGACACTTCCCTAGAGACCTCCCTTCAAACTGACATCAGCAGATTAGTGACCAAACTCTAGGTCCTGCCCTTTAGCCACTTCTGAATCTACTAACCTGTCCTCTTTTTCTACACCCCATTTCTCCATCTTATCCATCAGAATAGTTCGTGACAGACTTTGTGAAATGCTTTGCTAAAAAGTTCTAGGTAAACTCTAGAGAGGCAGGATAGTAATATCAGTAGCTAACAATTATATTGCACTTTAAAGTTTACAAAATGCTTCATAAATATTATCTTATTTGATTCTCACAACAACCCTGACAAGAGGTTGGCACTATTTTTTATTATTATCCCCATTTTACAGACAAGGAAACTGATGCAGACTGAGATAAAGTGACTTGCTCAGGGTCACATAGCCAATAAGTGTCTGAAGCAGGGTTTGAACTCAGGTCTTCCTGACTCTGAATTCAGGGCTCTATCCATTGTGCCACATAGCCACAAAATTAAAGAGTACTGTATTAGAAGGTAGAGGTACTGGGTGTTAGCAAATCCCAGCTCTGATACTATCTGTGTGACCTTGAGCTCTAGGCCTCAGTTTTTCTTTTAGCTGTGTGACTATGGGCAAGTCCCTTTACTGTTTAGCATGATGACGATGATAAGCATTTATATAGCACCTACTATATGTGCCAATGAGAGATGTTGGACTAGATGGGCTCCAAGGTACTGCCCAGCTCTAGACCTATAACCCTAGGCCTATATCAGTCCAAAAAGGAAATGAGGTGAGTCTGGTATCCCCTGTCTTTGACTGAACCCATAGTGGCTCTTAGTGATCACCTTGGCCTTTTTCAAATGCCCACAAAGGAAGTGAAGCCAAAAATGGCTCTGGGTGTGAGCGGGTGCTCACTACTATTAGTTTTCCCTCAAATCAACAGACCTAAAGCCTGTATTTCTTTATGAACAGTTCTCTTTTCCTGGAAATTTGAGCTGACCAGTCAATAAACATTTATTTATTTATTTATCTGCTCATTTATTTATTTATTTGTTTGTTTGTTTTTTTTTGGGGGGGGCAGCTAGCAATGGGGTTAAGTGACTTGCCCAAGGTCACACAGCTAGTGAGTGTTTTGTGTCTGAGGCTGTATTTGAACTCAGGTCTTCCGAAATCCAGGGCTGGTGTTCTATCCACTGCGCCACGAGCTGCCCCCAATAAATATTTATTAAGAACCCCCTATCTGCTAAGCACTAGGGATACAAAGAAAGGTAAAAGATAGTCTGTGCCCTTGAGAAGCTTACAATCTAATGGGGGAGACAACTTGTGAACCACTACATACAAGGTAGATATAGACAGGATGAATTAGAAATAATAGAGGGTATTTATTTATTTATTTATTTATATTTAATTTATAATTAAGGGGGATTGGGAAAGGCTATTGGTAGAAAGTGGAGTTTTATCTGGGACTCAAAGGGTGTATGGTGGAAAGAATCAGGAGCCTGATTTCTAGTCCTGGCTTTGCCCCTGACTTGCTGCGTGATATCGGACAAGCCACTTCCCCTAGACATGTTTCCTTATCTGTAAAATCTGAAGTCTGGACTAAATGATACCTAAGTTCTACCATTCTGTGTTCTAAGGTCCTTTCCACCTCTGCCACTACCCTACCCCATGACCTTGGGGAAATCCCTTGGCCTCTCTGGGCCTCAGTTTCCTTACCTGTAAAACAATCCTGTTGGACTACATGTTTATTGACGTCCCTACTAGCTTTAAAAACAACAACAACAACTTATGATCTTATCATGCCCTGGTTGGTAGGGGTAGGGAGAGTAGTGGGAAGGCAAAGTGGCCCTTTTTCATCTTCACGTATGTCTGTGGGGATTCGTCCTCTCTCGTGTTCCCTCTCTTTGCCCTGCTCCCACCCTGGTGGGATCTTCCAGTGAAAAGAACTGGCCGAAGAAGTGGGTCTCAGACAGAATCCCTGCCTGGAGAACGGGCTTGAGGATGTTGGGGTTGGAGCTCCCCCTACTGGGGACATCCATATGGCCAAGTATGTGCACAAACGCATCATTAAGGTGGTGACGATGATAAGCATTTATACAGCACCTATGTGCCAAGCACTGTGCTGAGTGCTTTACAACTATCTCCTCATTTGAAAATAGATACATGAGTGTATTTGGGGGAAGGGGTTGGTTTTAGGCTCGGCAGGTGCCTGTCTGGTCTCCTGGTTGGCATTCAGTCACATCTGACTCTTCAGGACCCCATTTGGGGTTTTCTTGGCAGAGATACCGGAGGGGTTTGCCATTTCCTTCTCCAGCTCATTTTACAGAGGAAGAAATTGAGGCAAACAGGGCAAAGTGACTTGCCCAGAGTCACACAGCTAGTAAGTGTCTGAGGCCAGATTTGAACTCAGGAAGATGAGTCTTTATCTCTCTGCGCCTCAATGTCCTCATTTCAGAAATGAGGAGGTAGGGGGAGGCTAGATGCAGTGGAAAGAGAATTGACTCCAAAGCCTGGGTTCACATCCTACTCTGACACTGTCTTTGGTATCTTGAATAAATCACTTCTTTTGTCCTCAGTTTCCCCATCTGTAGAGTAGGGAATTGGATTAAACTAGATGCCCTTTGTGAGTCCCCCTGCCTCTGGAGCCTTTCAGTTCTGATGAATAATCTGTGAAAATTCCTGGTTTTAGGTGCCCCCCCTTTCAAGATTTGCACAGCCATGCTCAGCCCTTGTTCATCCTTTGTTGATCTTCAGGGTCAGAGAGGAGCCTGATTTATGAGAATGTCCATCGAGAAGGGGGACCACGGGAGTCAGAAGACCTAGGGTGGAGCTCCAGCGAGTTTGAGAGCTACAGCGAAGACTCTGGGGAGGAAGAGGTTAAACCAGAAGTGGAACCCACCAAGCACCGAGTGTCTTTCCAGCCCAAGGTAGGGCGAGTGGCATGGGGGGCATGAGGGGAGGTTGGGGCCAGGCCAGGGAGGAGCAGTGACTTGTATGGATGAATGAGTGAATGACTGAAAAGGCCATTACATTTATTAGAGACTTATGATATGCTAAGCACTGGAAATGCAAATAGAAAAACAAAGACAATCCATTTAAGCAACTTATATTCAAGTAGAGAGAAAGCACTCACAGAAGAGAGATGGGGCGAATGCTAAGTGAGGTCGTTGGGAAATAGATTGATGTGGCCCTTCCTGGTATAATGGCAGAATTGGGGGAGGGAGAAATGTGTCCAAGGCCCCCAGGCTGCTAGTCCAGCTGAAAAATGAGCTGGAGAAGGAAATGACAAACCACTCCAGTAATTTTGTCAAGAAAACCCCAAATGGGGTCATGAAGAGTCGGACACAACTGAAAACGACTGGACAGCAACAATGGTCAGCCCTATTACATACCACAGGATCTCCGAGGTGGAAAGGACATTAGAGTGTAGCCTCAGAGGCTGAATCATTGGAGGGGACTCTAGAGATCAGGGGATCCAACTCCTTCAATTTATAGAAGAGGAAATGCAGTAACAAGGAGAGTTAAGCGACTTACCTAAGGTCATGTAGGCAAGATTTGAACCCAGGATCTCTGATGCCAGACCAAGTGCTCTTTCTGTTGCCTCCTACTGCCTTCTGTCTAGGGCAAGGGTTCCCCGTCAGTAGATTTGGCTGCTCAGTTTCCCCATCTATAAAGTGAGGGGCTGCTAGTGCAATGAAGGGGTCATCTAATAATGAGCTCTCAAGAGCCTTCCCATTCCAGAGCCCGTCATGATCATGCCCATGATGTGCCCAGTCAACCTAAATCACGGGATTGAGAGCTGGAGGAGGGATATTGGGAAGAATCATTGAAGCCAACCCCATCATTTTATATATGAGAAAATGGAGGCCCAGAGTAGGGGAGATATTGTCCAAGGTCATGCATGGAATTTTGAAATGGAAGGAGCCAGCTGATCTGACCCCCTCATTTTTTAAAAAACTGAGGCTTACGAGATTACAAGTGGCTTGCCCCAGGTCACCCAGCTAGAAAGTACCAGAGGCAGGATTTGAACCCAGTCTTCCTCACCCTAGGTCCAGTATTCTTTATGTACTATACTTTCACTTGCCTCTTAGCTAGTCAGACACAGAGTGACATTGGAACCCAGGTCTTCTGAATACCCATTCCTTTCTCCATAACGCCACCTTTATTTCCAAACTAGTTTTTGTATCCCCACCCCCTTTTCCATAGTTGAAAAGTAGCCCCTTGTCCCCCAAAAGTGGAGGATCCTTGGATTTATGGCAGCTGTCTCCTGGGACTCATTCCTTGCTTCAGTCAACTTGTCTTAGAGTAGGGGCTTAATTCAATCACATTAGTGCCATCGCCTGCTGCCTTCCCCCCAACCTTGTGACCCTCCAGGTCTGTTGTAATGAAAGTGACTTTTCTGCCTTAGTGAAGAAATTATTTATTAAGCACCTCATTTATCCTGAAAGTTCAAACCCTGCCTTAGACTCATACTGACTTTGAGACCCTAGACAAGTCACTTAACTGTTTGTACTCTTGGCAACTGTCTGAGACTATAAATTGGAGAGAAGGTGCCATCTTACTCTGGTGAAGGGAGTCTTCTTATCTGGGAGTTCCTTATATCAGTGAAGCCCCACGTCCCGTCCCTGTTCCCACTGTTCCTTTCCTATGTGTTCTCGGCTTGTAACTAGGAGTTATAAATACTGAAGAAACAGTCATTGGAGCCTAGCTTCATGGGGCCTCAAAAAACATTTACCCCAACCCATCTGTAATCAAGAACTCTCTATAACATCTCCTCTAAGGGGTCATAACCTTTCTTGAAGATTTCTATTGAAGATTCACCACCACCCAAATGAAACTGAGTGATTATAGACTCGTGTCTCTCTAAGTCAGATATAGAGCACTGATGTAAATATATAACTCTGTATAGCTCTAGGCCCACCTTCCCTCCCTGTCTCCCAGACAGACTTGTCCCTTGGCGTGTTTCTTGTCTAGAGGACTTGGAAGCCATCCTGTCCAGTCCCCTCATTTTACCAATGAGGAAAAAAAAAACTAAGGGAGATTGAGGGACTTGTCCAAAATGATGCAGTAAATGGTGCATAGGTGAGATTTGAACCCAGGTCCTCTGACTCTTGAATTCCATGCCCTTTCCAATGTGCCATTCTATTCTACTGCTGTTCTTTGTTTTGCTTTCTGGGAATTAGCAGAATAACTCTAATCCCTTTGTCCAAATACAGCCTTTAAATCCTTGGAAACCATGCTGTCCCCTCTTGATCCCCCAACCAACCCCAAGTCTTCCATTCTTTAGGCCAACCACCCCCATGCTCTTCACAGAATCCTTTTTCAGTATTGTCTCCAGGCCTATCAGTATTCCAGTTGCCCACCTCTGGACACGCTCTAGCTCATCTTTCTGTCCTCACAGAATTTTTAATGCCTAGAACTGAATCTAGGCTTCCAAGTATGTTCCAAAGATGCTGAATTATGCTGGAGAAGCAATAAGAAATTCTTGCAAAGCATTTTATAAAACACCTGACCTCATTTGAGCCTCAGAACAGCCGTGGGAGGTGGGCCCTACAGGTATTATTATCTGCATTTTAGGTAACTAAACTTAGGCTCAGAGAGCTGACGTGTCTTGTCCATGGTGTCATGTAGCCAGTCAGCATCAGAGGTGGAATCTGAACCCAAGTCAGTCAGACATGACTGAATAACACCAGCTTCTTGGCTGTAAATTCACAACAGGGCCACACTTGGTCTTGGCCCTCAAGAATGTCTCAAGAAGTGATGCTAGGATTTAGAACTGAGACCACAGAGGCCATCCTGGAAGCAATCCTGTCCATCATTTTGTTTGTTTGTTTATTTATTTTTTGGCTAGGCAATGGGGTTAAGTGACTTGTCCAGGGTCACACAGCTAGTAAGTGTTATGTGTCTGAGGCCGGATTTGAACTCAGGTCCCCCTGAATCCAGGGCCAGTGCTCTATCCACTGCGCCACCTAGCTGACCCCATCCGTCATTTTGTAGAGGAAGACATTAAGGCTTGGAGGTAGGCATGACTTACTTGCCCAAGTCCGTACAATTTAATTCAATTCGATAAACATTTATTAAGTATGTACTGTGTTCCAGGTACTGTACTAAGCTCTGGGGAAACAAAAGAGGCAGAAGATGATCCCTGCCCTCAAGGTACTTACAGTCTAATGGGGGCAGGGAAACAACATGCAAACACATGCATACAAAGCAAGCTCTATACAGGACAAATAGGAAATAATGAACAGAAAGAAAGCGCTGGAATTGAGGGGCTGGGGAAGGCTTTCTGTAGGAAATAGGATTTTTGTTGGGACTTAAAGGGAGCCAGGGAGATCAGTAGTCGGAGTGCAGGAGGGAAAGTTCCAGGCTTTCAATATATCCCCAAAACAGACAAAATTTAACATCCACATAGTTGCTGGGATTGGGGAGGAGACGCCACCGTAGCGTGATAAGCAGAGGGGCTCATCCAAGGGGACCTCTGGAGGAAGGGAGTTTGACTTTGGGTTGCTGAGCTTGGACTCAGGCTGTCCAGGAGGAGACAGGAGGATGTTGAAGTTGGAGGCGATGGGAGTCAGAAGTGGATGCTCAGAGGCTGTGCGGACACAACTGTTCTGGAGGGGGGCTGCCCACTTGTTAAGGGAGGGCGGTGTCCTGTTGGTCCTTTTGCTTGGAGCCGATGGCCACTCTTGATGCCAGGCCTCTCCTTTAGCTGTTACCTGGTCCATGCCCTCCTGCCTCCTCCATGAAGGATGACCTTCCCTTTTAGCTGATGAATTGGCTTGAAGACATCGGATTTGGAATGTGGGAGTCTCTTGGTCATTCCAGCCTTTTGGCAGTATAGGCTTGAGGGCCTTAGGCTGTGTTTCTCTACCACTCGGTGCCCAAATGGCCAAGACCCTGTATTCACTCACTTGGTGGTGGTGGGTATCTGGAGGAGGGTTTGGAATCTCTCACTTGGCAGACTAAGTATTCTTTGCCACATACAAAGGTGACTGCAAATCCTACATCCTCACTGCAGCCCCAGTCTATTTCTCTGGCCCTGGAATGTCTCACGTCTGCTTGCTGAAAAAACAGCCTCCTGGGGGCTAGGGAAAGTTTGTAGAAGAAGGCACTGCCATTTGGTGCTTTGAGATCCCTTGCTGCATGAAATGAGCTTGGCCAGTGGAGCTGCTGCATGCCCTGACCCCTGTGTCCTGCTTGGCTGTCTGTCGTGTGCCCTGCCTTATAGAAAGACGTCACCTGGAAGATTAATCCAATTCCCCTTCCCCTCCCCCAGCCCCATTCTCTCTGTGACCGTAGGCAAATCACTTAAATTTCCTTAGCCTGAGTTTTCTCAATGGTAAAGTCTATGTTTAGGGGAGGCTAGGCCACTTCCTCCAAGCTCTCTATTTCTGATCCTTATTTTTAAAAAAAGAGAAAAAAATGGAGCCCGGACAGGGTAAGTTACACCTCCAAGGGCACTTAGGTGAGTACCAGATCTGGGATAGCCTCTCTTTCTTCTGTGTGCTGGGGCTCTACTTTCACTGGGAGTTAGAAAGGGTCACACCTTGGGACACTGTGAAGCTGTCACGGGAGCTGGTGGCTGCTCCACCTCTGAAGTGTTGGGAGGTTCCCTCCATCCAGTGCAGCCCCTTTTGCGTGGCATGCCAGTTAAGGGATGATCAACAGAGATCCCACAGCAGCAAAACCAGGAAGGGACAGACTCGTGTCTGACGAATTCAGCTCGATTCAACCAACAGGGTTCAGTGCTGGAGGAAACGCAGAATTTAGATGAGACGGAGTCAGCCCTTTGCTCATTTCACAAGCCCATCTCTGCCTCCTGGCCTCCTTCAAGCCCAGCTCAAAGCCCAGTGCCTTCCCAGCAGGCTGTCTCCAGTCTACCCAGCCTAGATCTTGTTTGTGCATGGTGGTTTGCATGTTGTCCTTCTCATTTTGACTATAAGCTCCTTGAGGGCAGGGACTATTTCTTTTGAAACCTTTCTTTGGTCCTTAGCTCTTAGCACAGCATTTTCCATCTTCCTACTCTCCACCCCAAGCATCCTAGGCTAGGATGCTTAATAAATGGTGCTTAATAAAATGCCTGTTCAAGGGACTCACAGCTTAGAAGAGGGAAATATGTGTATACACACATATACATGTATATACATATGCATATGTATGTATACACACATATATGCACATATCCACTAAATATATATTACATAATTAATAATACAATATATAATATCACATATATAATAATATATAGATATATTAATATATGATATATTATATAATACTATATATAATTAATAATGATATATAGTAATATAATATACTATATATACCAATATATAGGCTATATATAAACTATATACATATACATATATACATGTGTGTATATATATATATATGTACACATATAAATGTGTATTTCTTTTACAAGTAATATGCAGAAAGCAAGTCATGTGCTATCTTTTGTCTGTGAAGAGGGACATCATTATTCATGCTTTGAGATCTTTTTCTGATACATAGGATGAAGTACTCCCTTAGCCTTTCCCTTTATAGCTAAGGCATTTTGTGAGACAGCTGACTGACATTAGGGATTTAATAGTAAGTTTTGTGTTCAAGGAATGGGGACCATACTTGTGACATACACCCTATTAGGATTCTTGTTTCGGTAAATGGACACAAGGTAATAAAACAGAGCTGGGATAGCTCTTAGAGTGTCAGAGCTGGGAGAGCCCTTAGAACAGAGAATGTCAGAGCTGGGAGGGCCGTTAGAACCCAGAATGTCAGAGCTGGGAGGGTCCTTAGAGTGTCAGAGCTGGGAGGGAGCTTAGAGATCACATCTCATTTCTCATCATGACATCTCAGAATAGTGATGAGGCCTAGGGAGGCAGAAGGGGCTTTCATTTTGTTGTAAAAGCCTGTTCTCTAGATAATACAGGAATAAAATCAAAAAGTCAACATTTTTGTTTGGAGACTGCATGACTCCTGGGAATTTTGATGATACTTGCCATCATATGAGATGAGTGAGGCATATTTACTATCTCACTTTATTCATTTATTCATTCATTCCCCTATGTGTTCATCCTTCTACTCTTCTGTACACCCATCCATCCATTCATGCATTCATTCATCAATCATTGATTCCATTCATATTTTCATTTACTCGTCATTCATTTTTTCACATGTCCATTGACTAATTTGTTCTTTCATCCATCCATCCTTCCATCCATCCATATGTCATTCATCAGTCATAGACTCCCTCTAGGCTTCATTCATTCTCCAATCATTCACTCACTAATAAATCCACTCACTGCATTTATTCATATATTCCTTTGCTCATTTCATCCACTCAGCAAACATTTACAGAGCGTCAGACATACTGAGCGCAAGGCTTCCCCCTGCACGGCCTTCCTTACTTCTCATGAGCGGTGAGGGAAGCAGTTCTCTCCCCCTGTCATCCCGAGGGATGTGAATTCAGCTCGATCCCCTGGGCACCAGTTGACTCCCCACACTTGGGTCCCACAGCTGCTGGCTGTTTGTCCGTAGATGAATTGCCCCAGGCCCCCCGAGGGCTTCCCCCCGGTCCCTTGGGTATCTCCTGGCCTCTCGTCTGCTGCTTTACCTGAGGTTCTTTTCTTTTCCCTCTTGTTTGTGTTTTTGTGTCTTTCCTCTCCCGCCCGCTCCTTCTGCCTGCTTTCCTTCTGCCTGCTGCCTGCCCGCCCACCTGCCTGCCTGACTGCTTTGGGGGATCCAGCTTTCTCCAGATCTGTCTAGGCTAAAGGAGAGATACGCCAGGACTAAGAGGGACATCTTGGCTTTAAGAGTTGGGGGGAGAGACATGCAGGACCTGAAGCAGAAATACGATTGTAAGGTATTGTCCCCCACCTGTCATTAGCCCTCCCCCTGGGCTATGGGCATTTAATCATAGCTGGCATTTACATAGTGCTGTGTGGTTTGCTAAGTGTTTTCTAAATATTATCCCATTTTATCTGCACAGCAACCCCGGGAGGCAATTGATAATATCCCCATTTTACAGATGATGGAACTGAGGCAGGCAGAGGTAAAGTGACTTGCTCGGGATCACACAGCTAGGAAGTGTCTGAGGCTGGATTTGAACTCAAGACTTCCTGACTATGGGTCCAGTGCTCTTATCTGCTGTACCACCTTGCTGCATTTCTTCTGTGAATCTGTATCCCTGCTCTCTGGAAATGTTTCTAGGTTTTCCCAGGGCTTTGGAGGGGGGAATCAGAGCCAAGTGTAGAGAGGTAGGTTTAGGTAGGCAGCTGCCAGGGGTAATCCACAGGGGTGTGTAATGATAGATGCTTTATCATGTGGCTTTTTATAACTATGTATAGATATGTGCATACGTATATGTATGTATATCTACATATATACATATATGTGCATAGATATGTACACACATATACATCTATAAAATGCATGTATATATATATGAAAAAAATTTAAATGCCAGAAAAGCCTTCTCCCCATAACCCTTAGGGGTTTATTTTGTGAGAAGTCAAGCTGCATGTGTTACAGTAAAAGCTTAAAGCCTTTAGTGGACAGTAACACCCAAGGGACACGTGGCCCTTGCCCCAGTTTTGGGTAAGTGGGACTTGTGATGTCTGATGTTAAAGGATGAAGGGGGTCTTGACTTTGGCCCCATCTCAGTTCCCCAGTCTACAGGATTATAGAATTCTGAACTGGAAGAGACCTTTGGCATCCTATACTCCAGATTATAGGTGAGGAAACAGGCTTGTCGGAGACATCATGTGACCTGCCAACTGTGAGATTCCGTGGTTTGGGCTAATGTCACAGGGCTAAGGATTTGACAGATGTGGGGTGTGGTGAAAGGCCTCCTGACTCATGGCGATGTCTCCTCAACCCTTCTCAATGTTGGAGGTTGCTTAGGGTGGAAGACTTTCGAGCTGGCTGGGATCTCAGAGCCCAGCTCGTCTCATTTTTTATAGATGAGAAAGCTGAAGCCCAGAGGAGAGATTTCTCCAAAGCCTCACTGCTTGCAAGGGGAAGAGCTGAGATCCAAACCCAGGCTGAGAAGTCCCTTCAGCAGCCTTCTACCTAGTCCAGACCCTTCACTTAGAAGATGGAGAAAGTGAGGCTCAGGGGGGATGTGACTTGCCCAAGGTCACACACGTTGTCAGTGTTAGAGTTGGAATTTGAACCCAGATTCCTTGGCTCCAGGGCCAGGGCTTTAGAGTACCCCGGCTTCTTTTCTCTGTCCCTCTCTGTAGTTCCTGGAATGACTCTTATTTCTTGCATGAGCGGCCATGTGGTACAGTAGAAAGAGTGCTGGATTTGAAGTCCAAGGGCTGGAAGTTTAAATCCTGCCTTTGTCACTTAGTGACAATGTAACTTTGGTCATCTTTGTGGGCCTCAGTCTCCTTTCCTTTAAAATAAGAGGCTTAGACTAGATGGCTTTTAAGGGCCTTTCTAGCTATGAACTGTGATCCCATGATTCCATGGGGAGTAAATATAGGGGTAGGGATGGAGGTACAGGGCGGTATCTGCTCCTCAGACTTCCTCAGGAACAAAGGAGAGAGGACAGCTGTCTCCCCCGATCTTTCTTCTTTGTCTCAGGTGTGACATTCATTTATACCAGGCAGGATAACTTCCCAGAGGTGGATGGGCCCATTCCTTGAAGGCCATGCCTCTGGGCCTGGTGTAGGACACTTCTGCTCTGGAGAAAGGGGAGAAAGTCTTCATTCCCCCATGGTGTCTGCTTTGTTTCCTGACACCGACGCTGTTAATATGGTATCCCCAAGGAGAACAAGGAACTGAGAGAGGCCTGGATCCAGCATCTACTAGCTGTTTGACCCTGGGAAAATCATATGATGTTTCTGAGCCTCAGTTTTCCCATCTGTAAAATGAGTTAATAGTGATCCTTGCCCAACCTACTTCACAAGGTTGTTTTGAGGAAAGGGCTATGTTTGTTGTAAAGAGCTATAGAAATGGGGGGAGCAGGTGGTGATGGTGGTGTGAAGACCTTTGTGATAGCTTCTTTCTCTCTCTGGGCCTCAGTTTCCCCATCTGTAAGACGGCCTCTGAGCTTTCTTCCATTTCTTGGGCCCTGATTCTTTGATCTAGGGTAGTTCTGTCTATAAATATATTTATATCTATATCTATCTTATATCTTCCCTTTTGATCTAGAACAGCTCCCTTCTATCAATCTATGTCTGCCATGATCATTAGCTCTAGAGTCAGAGGACATAGGTTCTGATGCTTTCTGTGCAACACTGAGTAGGACCCGCCTCTGTGGGCCTCAGTTTCTTCCTCTGTAAAGTAAGGGAATTGACTGGAATGGCTTTAGGGCTATGACTCCCGATTTTGGCCCTCTTTCCATGATACTATATTACCCTCCAGAAGAACCAACCCCTGCCTCCTGGGAGCTGGTGGTCCGGTTGGGAGATGAGCCATGGACAAAAAAGGGTGGCAAGGCGGCCCAAGAAACTGAAAGCCCTGGAGAGTACCACGGTTTGGGAAGAGGCCTCCTTGGCTGTGGTCAAGCACTTCCTGCGTCTCCTGCTTTCCTCTACTTCCCTCCTTTCAGAACCTGCCCCTCCTCCCCTTGCATTTTGGGGAAACTCCTCAATCCTGAAATACCAATCACAGAAACTGCCCTGCTTAGAGTTTGAAAGTTCCTGGACTTTTTTCCAGCATGTGTCATTTTCAAAAGACTGAGAGCTTCCTTTAAAGGAGAAAATTGAAGTCCTGAGAAAGGAATGAGTCATCTAAGGCCATAAGATTGGTTAGTGACAGGTTTTCTGTTAGATCTGGAAAGGCTGTTAGAAGGGAGAATATCAGAGCTGGGAGGGCCCTTAGAACAGAGAATGTCAGATCTGGGAGGGCCTTTAGAACAAAGAATGTCAGAGCTGGGAGAGATCTTAGAAGAGCAAGTATAAGAGACAGAAGGAATCCTAGAAAACGGTATCCAAACCCTTCATTTTTGTCTACATAAGGAAATGGAAGCCCCCAGTAGCATGAAATACCTTGCCAGAGTTATTCAGGAGTTAGGACATTAAGTCAGGAGCAACGTCTTCCCATTCCCTTTCCCATAAAAGGAGACTTTGAGCCTTGAAGGTCAGGGGCCAAGGGGATCAAGGAAGACAGAACAGTAAAGCAGGAGCTCCCCATGGGAGGGTCCTGTCTTTACAAGAGAGTGGGCATCCCTGCCAATAATAGGGAGCCTCAAATGGAGGCAAAGTCACTGAAAAGAGCATGATAAAAAGTCGTGGGAGGCACCCAGTGAGACTCTTAGATGAGGTGGGGCTGCCAGGACCTCTCCCCTTCCATGCCAGGGGTCCATGTTGGGAGTTTTACTGTCACTTGAGTATCTTGTTCCTGAAAAACCTCTACCATTTGTCTGTTCCATGACCTCTTCAGTCTTGGGATTCTTTTTTCAGAGCTTGGTAGGACCTTAGAGATCATCTCATCTAATTCCCCTAATTTTACAAGGAAACTGAGGCCCAGGGTAAGTGACTTGTCTAAGTTCACCCAGCTACTGAATGGCAGAATCAGGACCTGAAGCCAAGGCTTTGTGATTCTAATTCTGGGTCTCTTTCTGTTATTATCACCTGACTGAAAGTCTCAGAATCTTAAAAACTGAGCAGTAAGACCTGTGTTGGCCCCAAGAATAAAAAGAACTCATCTTTTGGTAACATTTGAAGATTTGCAGAATGTTCTCTCCACAACAGCCCTTTTGGTAATAGAAGTATGATTAGAGAGACATCACAGAGTAGTGAATACAAGGTTGGACTTGGGGACAGGAAGACCAGGGCTCAGGAAAACTTGCCTTAGACACTTAGTAGCTGTGTGACCCTGGGCAAGTCTCTTAACTCCTTCTGTGCTTCAGTTTTCTTTTTTGGAAAAATGAGGAGTCAGACTTTATGACCTCTGAAATCCCTTCTAGTTTGAAGTCTATGGTCCTTTCCATCATCAATGATTTGGAATCTTTGTCAGCAGATGGAGAATCCTACACTGAAAATTCCCATGTCAGCAAAATGACAGATCCTTGATGTTTTGACAGGAGGAAACTGAAGCCCTGCATTGCTTAGAATTTTGTCTAAATGTGCCATCAATCACAAATGCATGTTTGAAGCTATCCCCCGCCCTCTGCTCCCAACCCTTTTGTGGTATATTTTAATTCTCCATGGCAAAGAATAATATGAAAAAAAAATGGAGACCCATAGAGTACTGACTTTGGTGTCAAGAAGCTTTGTTTCACGTCCTACCTGGGATTCTGGGTAGCTGAGGGACCCTGGGCAAGGTTCTTAATTTCTGAACCTCAGTTTCCTTAGCTGTAAAATGGGGATAATCATGCTTCTCTCATAGCATCATTAGGATGAGATGACATATTGAAGGGGGAAAAACACCAAGTAGTTAGATGGTAGTTGTGATTAGGGCACTAGACCTGGAATCAGGAAGAGCTGAGTTCAAATCCTGCTCAGACTCTTATAAGCTGTGTGACTCTGGACAAATTACTGAACTTTTGTCTGCCTCAGTTTCATCAACTATAAAATGGGGATAATAATATCACCTTTGTCCCAGTGTGGTTGTGAGTCTCAGATGAGATAACATTTGTAAAGAACTTTGCAAACCTCAAAACAGTATACAAATGCTAGCTATAAATTGTTTTGCAAACCTTTAAAATGATTTATTGTTAATATTTCTACTGTATCATACTGCCTCCCACACTGGTCTCATTCATTTATGACCTTACAGATCATCTCTCAGTAAGAAGGAAACAAAAATGGAGGAGGACGCAGATGTGGCTAGGAGCCCCATTTTGTGTTCAGTTTGATTCAGCAAATATTCAATGGGCGTATGCTCCATGGAAGGCGCTGTCCAGGCTGAGATGGTGCTGCCCACAGCCCAGAGTGAGCCCAGGAGATGGGGAGTGTCTTGGGCTAGAAACATGAGGTCAAAGGCAGAAGGATGCCCTGCTCTCTGCTTCTGACAAGCTTTTCCCCTTTTCTTCCATTAGATGACCCAGCTCATGAAGGCTGCCAAGAGTGGGACCAAGGATGGGCTGGAAAAGACCAGGATGGCAGTCATGCGCAAAGTCTCCTTCCTGCACAGGAAAGAAGTCCTAGGTACGACATCCTTCAAAACTCAGCTCCAGGGCCCCCTCTTCCAGAAAGCCTTCCCTGATGAGGTCCTTTTGCTCTCAGCCTTCCCCTCTGACCCTCTCAGGACCCTTTGCTGTGTACTTCTCTTTTAATAAGGTGAGGTCTCATAGTATTGGCTTCTTTTCTCTTTGCTAGACTGCAAGGACTATAAGAATCTGGGCTATCACTTTCTATGCCCTATGTAAGCATAGGACACATGTTCACTTGTTCATTCGTTCAGTTGGGTATATATCTAGTATGATGTGTTACATGTGGAAAGAGCACCCAGTCAGAGGTCCAAGGACCTTGGTTCAAATCCCAGCCCAGATGTTGCCACCTATGTGACCTTGGACAAGTCACAGTCTCTTGAGGCCTCATCCGAGGGGGTCTTGCTAAATGCCCCTTGAGGCTCCTTCAAGCTCTGGATCTTTGTGCCAAGCATTGTGCTGACTTGGATGCCAGGGATATGAAGATAAAAATGAAACAAATCCTACCCTCAAGGAGCTTCCATTCTATTGAGTGGAAGCACCATATGTACAAATAAATAAAAATAAAATATACAAAGAGGAAATGCCAAGATATTTCTTTCCCATGAGGAGATACAACAAGAACTCTGGTGATCAGAATAGGCCCCATGTCCGATGTAGTCCTCGAGTTGAATTTTGAAGAGGCCTAGGAATATGAAGAGATAGAGGTGCTATGGGACAGCCCATAGAGGTAGAAGATTTAGTGTTTTGTGTGGGGAACTGGAGGCAGACTGGTGAGGAGAATTGGGGGTATCACAGTGCCACTGTAGCCGATGCTCCTGCTGGGACTTATCATAATAATAGCTACTGTTTATACACTACCTGTTATGTGCCAGCCACTGTGCTAAGTGCTTTACAATTATGCTCTTGTTCAATCTTTTCCACAACCCTGGGAGGTAGGTGATTTTATGATCTCCATTTTATAGATGACAAAGCTGAGCCAACTAAAGGTTAAGTGACTTGCTCAGGGTCATACAGCTCGTGTCTGAGGCCAGAGTTGAATCATCACAATCATAATCATAATAGCTACCATTTATATACTACCTACTATATGCCAGGCATTGTGCCAGGCACTTACAATTATTATCTCATTTGATCCTCACAACAGCCCTGGGAGGTAGGTGCTATTAGTATCTACATTTTATAAATGAGGAAACTGAGGCAAATGAGGGTGAAGTGACTTGCCCAGGGTCACCCAGCTAGTAAGGGTCTGAGGCTGGATTTGAACTAGGGTCTTCCTGGCTACAGGCCCAATGCTGTACCCACTGCATCACCTAGCTGCCTCTCTTAGGGTAGCTCTGTGTCTAGGCTGCTCTGGTTGGGGTAGAGGATGTTGCCTTTTCCCCAGGGTCATCAGATCCTAGAATCAGGGCCAGAAGGGGCTTCAGAGGCCTCCACTTCCCTTATTTTATGAAAGAGGATGCTCAGGCTCAGATGGGTTAAGCGATTTGCCCCAATGAGTGTGCAAAGCCAGGATCTGAACCCAGGTCATCTGACTCCAAAGAGTTCTTCCTCTGCCCGTTTTCCCTCCTTGCACCCTCCCCACTGGTGCCAGTCCTGGCCGTCTGCCTCCTTCCTCAGGTCCTGCCCTCTTAATGCTTGTGACTGAGGACTTCTGCTCCTGTGACTCAGCTGGGACCCTCGTCCTGCGGCCACCTGTGGGGATGCTGGCCCTATTCTCTGTCCCCTCGCCTTGTTTGTTTCTGTGGGTTCAGAATGTTGTTAGAAACCAGCTTCTTTCTGCCTTTGGCCAGAGCCCGGCAGCGGGGGCCGTGAGGGGATGTGAGCCTCACCCAGAGTGAGGGAAGAGGCATTCTTCAAAGGCGGTCTGGGGATACACACCCATGGGCTTTTTCAGCTGAGGACTTAGTTTCATCACCCCCTTTCATCTCAGCTTCCTGATTTCTCCTCCTTTTCACAAGCACAGCTCTTTCTTCCTCAAGAAAAACCACCAAGTTCCTTTCCCTTTGAAAGTCAGGCAGCAGAGGACTTTGAAAGAACACCAGGTTTGGAATCCCAGATCCCGAATTAGCATCTGAGCTCTGCCACTTTCTAGCTGTATGACTTTGGGCAAGTCACATCACCTCTGTGGGCCTCAGTTTCCTCTTTTGTAAAATGAGGGGGTTGGGTTCGATGCCCTCTAATTAGTCCCTTCAAGCTGTCTATGGGCCCATGATTTTTATCATGCCCATTCTTCATTGCTGTTTCATCCTCTTCTCCCAGAAAACCCTAGGGGATCTCAAGGGACCCTTCTCCCCCTTCTAAGGAGGGCATGTGGACCTTTCTTCTTGATTTAATTATCCTTTAATTGTCATCACCTAAATTTCTAGAGTGTCTAAGGCTTACTTACAAAGCTCTTTTGGGGACAACATCCCTGTAAAAGTCCACAGGCTAAGTGTTATTACCCACACATTCTCAGCCAGGCCTGAGTCAGGCCCATCTGGTGGTTTATGCTCAGGACTGGCATGAAATGGGACACATAGAGATCATCTGACCTTTAGCCAAAGGAGGTTGAATTAATGATAACATAGAAAAGGTATTTGTGGAGAATAGAGCATCGAGTCACTGAATGTAGCTTCCCTGAAACCCATTAGATTGTAAGCTCCTTGAGGGCAGGGACTGTCTTTTGCCTCTTTTTGTATCCCCCGAGCTTAGCACAGTGCCTGGCATATAGTAGACACTTAATAGTGCTTACTGATTGATTGCATTTGAATTGGTCCTGGTCTGTCAAGCGTTTGTCATGCCTAAGGGATCCCAGACTCCTCACACGAGGGACCTAAATATCCAGATAGCTACATCTGTGGTTGGAGCTCTGGTAAAGGCAGTTTTCATTGCCTTGTGGGGGGAAAATTAGCCTACTTTATAGGGTCCTCAGTACATGTTGCTCCTACCACAAGACATTTTATCGATGAGGAAACTGAGGTTCAGAGAGGCAAAGGGGCTTTAAGATTTCTAAAATAAGAGAATTCATATTTCTAGAATTCTTTTAAGGCTTACAAAGTACTTTTTCCACAATGCTCTTGTGAAGTTGTTAGGACAAGCATTGCTATTGATCAGATAAGGAAACTGAGGCCCAGAAAAGGAAAGTGACTTGCTTACGGTCACTTTTAAGGTCACTGTTAAGAGTTGGAACTGGGCCATGGACCCATACCTTGATAATTATAAATTTTAGCCTCTTTTCTCCTTCAACACACTCACTGCCTTTCCATAAACTGCATTTTCTCTTCATTGGCTGACAGTTACTGGCATGTGCGACAGAAAGACAGAAATTACCTTCTTCCTAGAGTTGGAAGGCAGCAGGTAAAGCCAGTTTCCTTCACTCTGTCCCCAGCCCAGCATCTGGGTCCACAATGGTACTAGGGCATCAGCCCTTCTTGAGATACACTGGCCCTTATTAGCCAAGAAGCAGAAACCCAAGACCTGGCGTACCTTCCTAGCCCCAACAAGATTTCTTCTTTCAGGGATCGGTGGCTTTTACTGAGCAAGGGAGGTCAACCCAGCCAGGGAGTGATCTCGAAATTAGGGAAAGTAGAAAGATTGGTCAGCTGAGCATAACTGTAGCAAGCTAGTTCTATAGATATCATCCTTGCCACCCCCATGCTGGTGAGCCCTCCTCTTCCCCTCCCCCCCACCTCCCTTTCCTCCTCCCCCTCCTCCTTTTTTCCTCCTCCTCCTCCCCGCTTCTTCCCTCTCCTCCTCCTCCTCCCACCTTCCTCCTCCCCCTCCCTCTCCACTCCTCCTCTTTCTTCTCCTCCTCCCCTCCTCCTCCTACTTCTCCTCCTCTATCTCCCAGTCTCCCCCCACCTCCAGAGTTCATCCAAAGCCTTTGGTAAAATGACCCTCCCTCTAGAGGCGTTATTAATAGCCCTAGCTCAAATCACCAGCTGAGAATGGAAACCCTCGGTGGTGGTGGAGGAGGAGGGAAGAGGAAGCTTACTGGCAGACGGCTCCGGTGGGCCCGGGGCAATGCCGGGGGCACAATGTGGGTGAAGCGGGACAGCCTTTGCCAGTCCCACACTGTCATCCGATGCCCCTCCTCCTCTTCCTCCTCAGTCTCCTTTTCAGGTAAGGGACGTCCCTTCCTCAGTGAGGTTGTCTTGCTCTGTCTGCTGGCCTCTCTTTCAGCCCCCTGGCATCGTGGTGACCCCTACTTCCTGTCTGCCCACAGCCAGCTCTTGTGTTCAGAAGCAATCCTACGATGTGGCTTTTTTCTCTCCTGTTGGGCTTAGGGCTTGGAAAGGCCCCTAAACAAGGGTCCCGCAGCCCTGCTGCTTAACTCTTCTTCTCTGTTGCTTGCACCCCAACCCTGCCCTCTTTACCCTCTTCTGCGCCCATGTCTCAGATCATCAGGATTCTTTGGGCTCTTCTACTTTTCTCCTTTGAAAGAAAACAAACCCGCCCACATTTCTTCACAACAGGCATTTTCTTTTCCCAGTTTTGGCACTCAGAAGAAAACTATTTTTAGTTCTAGGGCGGTGGGGACAAAGAGGGTCAGGCTGGGCTGCTCTGAGCTGATGCTAGGGAGGCAGTGGTGGGACGGGGGAAAATGGCTGGTGGACTCGTACCACCTCCACACTTAGCCGTGTTCTAGGGGCCATGCCAGGGATTCTGTCCATTTCCTCTCCCCTCTCTTCCAACAGCCCTGCCACTGAGTCCTGATCTGGACTAGACCAGAGGCTTCTCCTTTCTTTCTGCGGCATCTTCCTCCCTCCTGCTTGCCTGCACGTACCCGGTATGGGACGTACTGGGTTTGGAGTCAGGAGACCCTCTGTCAGTTATTACCTGTATGACCTTGGACAAATCACCGCCTCTCTGCTCTTGAGTTTCTTTCTCTGTAAAATGGAGGCCTGAAGTAGATGATTGCATGATCTTTAAGGTTCTTTCCAGATGTAAGTCCACTGATCCCCCCTCTATGAGAGATGACCAAACCTCATGGTACAATTCAGAAGGGGAAGTCTAGTTAATTTCTGCTCCTTGATGTTTTGGTTTTTTTTTGGGGGGGAGGGGGGCATCTAGACTTTGATTATGTCAGGCAGGGAAGTCCTGGTAGGGAAACTCTCTCCACCAATTCAGAGCAGCAGCTAATTTGCAAATTATAAAGAGTTGCCTAGGGCTCTGATATTTTAAGTGATTTGCTCAGGGTCACCTAGCCAATAAGCATTTAAAAAATAAATTTTATTGACATCTTTTGTTTTTATATCACCTAAATGGCCGCTGTATCCCTCCCTTCCCCTCTCCTAGAAAGCTTTCTCATATAACAAAGAATTAAAAAGAAAAAAAAACACAGAAAAAAATCAGCAAAATCAATTAATACATTGAAAAAAATCTGACCAGGTATGCAACATTCCCCACCCATAGGCTCCCCACTTCTGCAAAGGAGTTGAGGGAACTATATTTTTTTTTTGCAGAAATAGAAACATTTATTTCATTTAACATAATTTAAATATCCATATATAGTCCTATCATCCAGTACTTTATTGTTATAGCTACATTATTATAACTCTTCTTTGGGGCCAAGCTCCAAGAAGCATTTCTTAAGCACCTACTATAGGCAGAGCATTGTGTGAGATCCTGGGAGGCAGAGCCCTTCCTCTGTGTAGATGTCTCAATCAACAGTATTCTCCAGTTTACTTGGATTACCAGTTTATAGGATTATGGCTCTACAGCCATAAAGGAAGCTGTATTCATTGACTCCAAGCTCAGAGCTCTTTCCCATCTACCCATTTTTTTTTTCTGGCAAGGCAAATGGGGTTAAAAGTGACTTGACCAGGGTCACACAGCTAGTAAGTGTCAACTGTCTGGTCTGAGACTGGATTTGAACTCAGGTCCTCCTGACTCCAGGGCCAGTGCTCTATCCACTGTGCCACCTAGCTGCCCTCCTTTCTCATCTCCTGGTGCCTCATTAAGCTAAGGTTCCTTGATTCTGGTCAGCAGACTTGCCTGAACTGTATCCCCAGAGTCATTGATATTCCTTTGATATCCCAAAGGACTCATCTCAGAAAACAAATGTATGGGTCATAAATTTTATCAATCAATCAATCAACTTTTTATTAAGCACCTACTAAAGGCCAGGCACTGTTCTAAGCATGAGGGGTATAAAAGGAGGTGAGAGACAGATCCTGCTCTCACGGAGTTCACAGTGGAGGGGTTTTATTGACCCCTTAATTTCAGAGGACATAATGGTTCTCCAGAATTGAGGGTGAGGTGGAGGTGGGGAAAGGTTATATCCTTACTGAACAGCTTCACAGCCTTGGGCCATCACATAGGAATATCTGAGTCCTGGTCCTGGCCCCAGGTCGGGGAGAGGGCTGATCCATCCTTGAGCCTCCACCTGAAGATTCAGTTTCTGGTTTGTTTTTCCAGGTGATTCAGAGGAGGAGGACATGGGGTTCCTGGAAGTCACTGTTTCAGATATCAAGCACCCAGCTCCGGAACTGGGTCCCATGCCCGATGGCCTCAGCCCTCAACAGGTCTGTTGGGGAGTGGGTGGATACATGGAGTGGGGGTGGGATGGGGAAGGAAACCAGCATGAGCAGGGAAGGTTCCTAGTTCCTTACTTGTGTCTAAATGAGCTTCTTGACTTAAGGAGGGAGATGGCCAGGGGCTATTTCTGACAGCTCTATGTGGTTGGGGCGGGGTGGGGAATGGAACCATTTCTGACCACAGCAGAGCTTATAGAAATCGACTCTGCAAATGTGGGTGCCCCCCCCAGCAGTTAGGTAATCCAGTAGAGAGAGTACTGGGCCTAGAATCAGGCAGACCTGAGTATAAATCCAGCCTCAGATATTTACTAGCTATGTGACCCTGGGCTTAATTTCTGTTTGCCTCAGTTTTTTCAACTGTAAAATGGGGATAATGACAGCACTCTACCTCCCAGGATTGTTGTGAGGATCAAATGAGACAATATTTGTGAGGTACTTAGAACAGTGCCTGGAACTTGGTAGGTACCACATAAATGCTTATTCCCTTCCCCTTCCAGCATCCTCTCTGCCCAACACTGATCAGTCACCCTCCCAAGGAGCTATGTAGCATAATGAACGGACCAACCTATACTGGCTAGACCAGTAATGACAATAAAAAGCAGACAGAGAGATCGGGAGCAATTACTGCCATTCCTATGGTGCTTTAAACCTTAAAAAGCATTTAACTCAGCGACCTTGTAAAGCATGTAATGAGGAAGGTGGAGGACCGGAGGGGGAAGTGACTTCCCCAGGGTCACACAGCTAGTAAGCAGCAAAGCCAAGATTCAAACTCTGGTCTTCAGGCCCCCAAAGCTGGTACTCTCTTTGTCCTACCACGGCTGCCTCTTAGAATCTGTTTGCACGTCTGTTCCTGATTTTCTTTGTGACCTCAGGCGAGTGATGAAATCTCTCTGAGGCTTTCTCATTTGTGAATGGGAAGGAGGAATGGTTATTCTGTCTTAGTGGTGGGGACCAGAGAACACTAATACAAAGTAGTGTGAGTTTCTAGGGAAGAAAACACCGTGAAAATTCAAAATGGGAGGGGAAGGGGTAAGCTATAATGTCAGAGCCGTAAGATATACAAATGGAATGTCATAGCTGGAAGGATCCTTAGGACTTAGAATGTTAGAGGGGTGTGGGATACATGGGAACATAGAATGTTGTAGCTGGCAGGATCCTCAGAACATGGAATCTTAGAGGTTCATGGGATACATGGGAACATAGAATGTTGGAGCTGGAAGGGACCTTGAAATACTAAATATTAGAATATGGAATATCAAATATTGGAACAGGAATGGACCTTAGAGGAAATATCTATATATCTATATATCTATATATATCTATATCTATATCTATATATATCAAATATTTCCAGCTCCTCATTTTATAGATGAGGAAATGGAGGCCCAGAGAGAAGAGGCCCATCTGAGGTCCGAAAGGTAATTAGTTGGTGGCAGAGATGGGTTCTAGGACCCTGGTCTCCTGACTCTTGGTGCAACGTTCTTTTCCTGGGGCTGGCCAGCACTTCCTCCTAAAGACACGCTGTAGGCATTATATAAATGCTTATTCCCTTCCCTCCCAGCATCCTAGCATCTTCTGTGCCCAGCAGTAATCAATCACTCTCTCCAAGGAGCTATGTAGTAAACTGAACAAATATACTATATTCTAACATACCTAATATTGATAATTCTAATATACCATATATATTCCAGTATAACTAAATATGGTATATTCTAAATCTGAGAATAAGATCATTGTGAATCGAGGGGCGCTGCTAGTAACTTCTAGGGAGAACATAGTGAGGCCGCGGGCTACAGAACCCTTTAACTACATGGAAATTTGAGAGAAAATGACCTGCCTATAGGCTGATGACTATTTGTTCCAGATCATCTCTGGTGGGGTTCTGCAGAGTCCTTGAGTGCCATTGAAAAGCCTCAGGTATAGGCAAAAGAGAAGGCTTACTTTCCGTAATTGAAAAAAATGGTTATGATAATAAAAAATAAAAAAAGATAATGATAATATCTACACTAACTTACATATCTTACAGGAGTGGGGTATGTGTGTGTGGGGAGAGTGGGAGGACATGAAGTGAGATAAATTACAAATGATAGACTCACAGAATGTGAGATTTAAGAGGGGCCTTGATGATCTAGGTCAACTTGTCTTCCTAGAAGAATCCCCTTGTATCCCCTGTAAGGATACAGTGGGAATTTTCTGTGAAATGAAGGGATTAGATAAATGATCTAGATCCTTTGTGGTTCTAGCTACAACCCCTTCCCCACTCCCCTGCTCCTCCACCATATACAAATGATCATCGGCAACTCCACCACCTCTCCAACCATCCATTCCAGTGTTGGACAGCTCCAGATTTTCTTGATATCTGGTCTCAGTTGTCCTCTTTGTAATTCCCCTCTTCCCCCATTAGTTCTGGTTCTCTCATTTGGGGCCAAAGAGAACCAGCCCAGTTTCTTTCTATGTAAAGCATTTTGTAAACAGTAAAACAATCTAAAATGTAAGTTATCATCATAGAACCTGTTGACCTTGCACAGATGCCCATTGACCCGGGTCATTGTTGCAAAGGAAGCCTAGAAAGTATTAAGTATTAACTCAGAACATTGAGGTGGTGCAGTGGATAGAACTCCGGCCCTGGAGTCAGGAGGATTTGAGTTCAAATCCGGCCTCAGGCACTTGACACTTACTAGCTGTGTGACCCTGGGCAAGTCACTTAACCCTATTGCCTAGCCCCCCCCCAAAAAAAAGAAGGTATTGCCTTCCTTCCTCTGAATCCTTGTCCATAGAATCTGTCTGTGTTTATGCCATCTGGGTATGTGAAGGTGATTTGGGACTTGCTAGGGAAAGGACTGGTTAGCTTGGCCAGAATAGATCTTCAGAGAAGAAGCTGGAGGAGGAAGGGATGTCTCTATTCTTGAATTAAGAGCTCCCAGAGCTCAGGGCGCTTGGCTTTTTGTCCCCTAGGATAGGACTAGGCAGGGGCTGGCTATGAGGGACAGATTGACTCACTGGTTTTTCCTTTGGCCCTCATAGGTGGTGAGACGTCACATCTTACGCTCCATTGTGCAGAGTGAGGGGAGCTATGTGGAGTCCCTGAAACGGATCCTTCAGGTACACCAAGGAGAGAGTCTCTAGGAGACTTCTGGGGAACTGGAGGGAGTTCCTGCTCCTCTCCTGCTGGAAAACCAGGGCTGAAGACCCAACAAGTCTCCATGGGGATCTTTTGACTGTTGCAATTCAATTGAACATTTTTGAAGGGACTGTATGATGAACAAAGCCCCATGCTTGGCCTTGGGTCATGTACACAGAGAAAAAAACCTTTTTATAAGTCACACCCAGTTGCAGTTGGCTAGGAATTTGGGGGCCTTGTGGGACATGTGAAGACTTAGTGGAAGAGGCCAGAGTTGGAGCCATCATGAAGATGGCAGATCGCCAAGGTATATGGCATCCAAGAAGTTCTACAGAGACACATTGTTTTTGGGAAGGCTGACTCTCCCACCACTACTGATAACCAGGCACCCTTTGTCTCAGCTCTGGCTTAAGGATTCTTCTCTCCATGTGGTCTAAGGGTCCTCCACTCCCTTCATAATTAGGAAGCAGCATGGTCTAAAGGAAAGAGCCATGGATTTGAAATCAGAGGACCTGGGTTCTAATCCTAGTTTTGCTCTTTACTATGTGCATGAACTGGGGCAAGTCCTTTAGTCTTTTAGAGGTTCAGTCTCCTCCTCTGCAAAATGAAGGGGTTGCATGAGATAACCTGGGTCCCTTATGGCTCTGGATATTCTCATCACTTAATGTCTTATTTTTCATTATTAACCCCCTCACTTTCTTAGCCATCCAGATATTCTTTCCCCTTCCCCACCCCCTCACTCAGAGCCAATCTGTTCCCTTTGCTATACACCATTTTTTTTTTGCCTCTCCTAACAGACTGGGAGCTCCCTGAGGACAGAGACTATGTATCTCCCATCAGACTGGAGATTCTAGGAAGCTAGAGACCCTCCCTCCCATAAGTCTGAGGCCTCTATGATGGGAGGGACAGTGTTTGCTCCATCAGACTGAAGTCTGAGACTGTCTTCCCTATTTTTTCATTGGGGGTGTGTGTAGAACTGAATGGATCTGTGATCCCCCTGATAAAGGGAACTCCTAGCACTGTAGGTCAGCTACTATTGTGTAATTTTAGTCTTAGAGAGTCATTTGGGGCATTGAAAGGTTTGGTAATTTTCTGAGCGTCAGAAAGCCAGGACTTGAACACCAATCCTCCTTAATTCTGTTCATGATGGCGTCCTGCCTCATTTGTCCAGTCTAAGAAATCCTCTGCTCTCGGAATATGTAGTTAATGTGTCCAGATGCTGTGAGGTTGGTGGGTTGAAGCGGAAGGCAGAAACACTTCCATTTAGACATAAGAGCCAGCCCCTGGTCCAGCAAAGGAGTGGGTGCCCCGTATGTGAGATCTGGGCCTGGTTCTTCTATGGGCAAAGGGACCTTGTTCTAACTACCACCATCCTCTGACAGGATTACAGAAATCCATTAATGGAGATGGAGCCCAAGGTGCTGAGTGCCGCAAGTGCCAGGTGGTCTTCTTTCGCCTTAAGGAAATTCTGCAGTGCCACTCCATGTTTCAGATTGCTCTATCGTCCCGAGTAGCTGAGTGGGATGCGACGGAGAAAATTGGAGACCTCTTTGTGGCTTCGGTCAGTGGGCACTGGGCTGCAGGATCCCCCTCTCCCTTTCTATCTCTCTTCTTGCCAGGGCTTCACCTCTTCTCCCTCCATGAAAAGAGAAGGTGCAGCCTGTTTTGGGAGGTAACCTCTGAGCCAGATGGACCTGAGAGGGAATTTAATCTGATTGGGTAGCAGGGGGCTGAGTTGGAGGTTATTTATATGTATGTATGAATAAAAATAAAATTATATATGAATATATCAAATTTTGTTATATTTAACATTATATTACCAATATTTATATAGCACTTTAAGTTATTATTATTGCCCTCATCTGACAACATGTTCTAAGGCCTTTTCCAGCTCTGACATTTTGTGTTCTAAGGGCCCTCCTAGCTCTGACATCTGTGTTCTAAGGGCCCTCCCAGCTCTGACATTCTGTGCTCTAAGGGCCCTCCCAGCTCTGACATCCTGTGTTCTAAGGGCCCTCCCAGCTCTGACATGTTATATTCTAAGCTCCCTCCCAGCTCTGACATTCTGTTTTCTGGGGCCCTCCCAGTTCTGACATTCTGTGATCCTACAAAACTTCCCCGAGCTACTCCTGTTCCATGTGTGAGAGGCTCAGACGTGGGGGTGGAGGCGTCCAGAATCGTTCTCATTTCTGCCTTGCTGTGCCCCACCATGGTGGCACACAGAATGTATTGGAGTACTGGGCACACACTAGACCTTGGTGGTTCGCTCTTTTCCATTGTAGCCCCTTGCTATAGCACTTAGAAAATTGTTTCCTGTGAAACAGCAGTCCAGGGCCAAGGCCTGGGTAAGGAGCATTATTTCTATTTTCTAGACCAGGAGACTCAGGTCCAGAGCATTCCATGATGCATGCAGAGTCACACAGCAAATGTGGGACATGGCTTCCTGGTGCTAAGGAAGCTGTGGTTCCACATTCCAGTCACTGCCAGGCCTTCTGCCTTCACACTGAGGACACTGTCCCTGTAATTTGGGTCATCTCTCTTCTACATATTACGTCACTAATCTCAGGGGCTCATGTGAGAAGGAGAGGAAATTGTAGGGTAAGGGGGAGAGTGTTAGACTTGCTGTCAAGAATGGCACATAACCTGTCTCTAGCCCTTCAAAACTATAGCACCTTATGAAAAGTCCCCTAGTCTCTCAACCTCAGTTTTCCCATCTGTGAAGTGGGTATAACAGTTCTTGTGCTGTCTCCTTTTTGTTTCTAGTTCTCCAAGTCCATGGTCTTAGACGTGTACAGTGATTATGTCAACAACTTCACCACTGCCATGTCCATCATCAAGAAAGCCTGTCTGACCAAGCCAGCGTTCCTGGAGTTCCTCAAGGTCAGTCATGGGATGAATCAGGTAGCCCTTGGTGGGGAAAGGCAGGGCACTTGCTTAGCAGAGCCACCATTCTTGGCTCTCCTTTCTGCTTGTCATTTTGGTGAAGGACTTCCCCTTCCCTGATTTTAGTGAGCCTGCCGTAAGATGGGAAGAGAATATCCAGAATCTGGTACTAGGTGCTCATAAGGATTACTGGAAAGCCAACCTCTTGGTAGGTTCCATGAGAACTGAGTAGGGAACCAGAAAGTGGGAAGGCCATATTCTGTGCTCTAAGATTTCTCTCAGCTTTGACACTGTGTGTTCTAAGGCCCTCCCAGCTCTGACATTCTGTGTTCTAAGCTCCCTCCCAGCTCTGACTGACATCCTGTGTTCTAAGGCCCTCCCAGCTCTGACATCCTGTGTTCTAAGGGCCCTCCCAGCTCTGACATTGTGTATTCTAAGGCCCTTCCAGCTCTGACATCATGTGCTCTAAGGGCCCTTCCAGCTCTGACATCCTGTGTTCTAGGATCCCTCCCAGCTCTGACATTGTGTGCTCTAAGGGTTCCCCAGCTCTGATATTCTCTGTTCTAAGGGCCCTTTCTACATTCTGAGGTTCTCTCTAGCTCCAGACAGCCATATCAGGTATATGTAACATAGTAAAGAGTATGAGTTGTTTTTGAACTTTCTAAAACCCCAGCTCCAGACCATCTCAAGGGCTCAGGCTGGCAGAATTTCTAGGTGTAGGCCCAGAGCCTTCACTTCTCCTCACTGTCTGAGGCAGGGGGGCTATCCTGGGTGGGGGAAGGGCAGCTCAGCCCCGGGGGTAGGGGTGGGCCCAGGGGCCGAGTATTGGGGCGTGATGGGAGTTTTTCTCCTCCAGAGGCGGCAGGTGAGCAGCTCAGATCGAGTCACCCTCTACGGGCTGATGGTGAAGCCTATCCAGCGGTTTCCTCAGTTCATCCTTCTGCTTCAGGTACGGCCCCAGCCAAGAGCCTGGTGGCAGCCAGCATAGTATGATGGGAGGGGCCCCGGGACTGGCCTCTGGGGCTCCACTGATGGTCGCCACCTTCCCACTCCCAGCCTCACCTTCCTCCTCCTATAAAATGCATCTGGTCCTTCCCTAGCACCTCTTGTGTTCCTTCCCAAAGTGGCATATATAGGTTGTGTGGTGCCCTCAGGAAGCATTGGCTCAGCGTTCACTGAATGAATGATAGAAAAAAACCTGTATTTAGCACTCATCATGTGACAAGCTAAGCACAGGAGATAGAAGTAGAAACAGCGAGACAATCCATGCTCTCCAGCAGTTCACATTCTCCTTTAGGGAAAAAAAAAACTGTCATAAAAGAAGTTCAGCTGCTGGGCAGATGGAAGGTCCCGGAGCTCCTCAGGGTTTCTGCAGCAGTGCAAGTGTCGAGGCCTTCTGAGGGGTCCTTAGGCTCTATAAGTAGGTCAGAGGACAGTTCTGGGAGCAGTGAGGTAAGGCAGATGGTAAGACCATCTCACCAGGAGGGTCAGAGCTGGTAATTAATTCTCCTCTCATCCAGGCTGGGCAAGTGGTCAAGCCCCAGTGGGTTCTGAGCATCCTGGGGCTAGGAGAGAGGGCAGTGGGGGAAGAGGGAGGTGTAGTGAGAAGAAAGTGGGAATAGCTATCAAGAGTCATACATTTAGCATGGTATTCTGAGGAAATTAATTGTGTGCCCTTGACCTGAAGAGAGTCTGCATGGGGAAGGATGATAGTGTGTGCCCTGGCTGGTTCTCCTTAGATAATCCCAAGCCTCTCTCTCCAGTTGTACTCAGAGCCTTTCAGCTTAGTTTGTGATACCTTGATTGAATGTCTGCTCTATGCATTAAGACAACACCTCCTGCCCTCAAGGAGCTTACATTCTACTGGGGTGGAGGGAGCATAACTTGTTCTGTTCACCATTTTTATCAGTGATGTGGATGGAGGCCTAGAGAGCCTGCTTATGAAATCTGCAGAAGACACAAAGCTGACACAATGGTGAAAGAGTTGGGCTAGAACAATGGGCCGCTCTAACGTGATGAAATGAAATAGGGATCAATGGAAAATCCTGTCCTGGGGTTGGAAACTGTGAGGAAGGCATGGCTAGATGTGTTTTTATAAGAAAGAGCTGGAGGTCTCAGTGGAATGTAAGCCGAGCATGAGTCAACGGTATCACATGGTTGTCAAAAAAGCCAATTAGGCTACTCTGAGAGCAGCATAGGGTCCAGAGGGTATGAGATGATAGAGAGGGAGAATGGATTTGTGGTATCATTGATTCAGGGAACTCCTGGGTGCAGGTCAGCAATGTAGTTTTAGAGAGCTGTCCATAGAAAGGGTCACATAGCCGGTAGGTATCAGAGGCCAGAACTGCACCCGGGTCTCACTGGCTTACTGCTATATTCTTCCCTGTTCCCACTGTGTCAGAAGGCTTGTGGCCCTCGTTTTCAAGAACCACATTTTAGGAAGGACACTGACATATTGGACAGATAGCCCAAGGTAGGGGATCATAATTGTGAAGAGTGGAGACCATGCTTTATGAGGGTCAGTTGAAAGAAATGGGGATAGTTAGCTTCAAGGAGAGAAGATTTAGGGGGTCACATATCATATATATGAAAGACTCTTACATGGGAAGAAGGGTTAGTCTCTTTTTGCTTGGCTCCAGAGGGCCAGACGAGGAGCCAGGGGCAGAAGTGGCTGGCAGGAAGGCATATATCAGCCCAAGGCAAGGGAAGAACTTGACTCTGAGAGCTGTTCCCCAGTCAAGGTGCTGTCTGAGGAGCTAGTGAGTTAGTCGTTGCTGGAGGTCCCCAAAACAGCCTAGACTTTTCCCCAGTTGTTATAAAGAGGATACTTTGGCCATGCCTTCTACCTCTGAGGTTCTGGGTTTGTATGACTCTCCGGGGGGCTTGAGTTCAAGGCTGGATCCTTGAGCCAGTGGCTTGGTTTAGTACTGTGGCTCTTGATCTTTTTTCCCCCGAGGTACCCCTTTTGGCCTGGGACAATCACTTGGTTTGTGCGTGGCATATATTTTGTATTGGCTGGTTCATGTACACACTGTTTCCTCTAGTAGTATGAAAACTTCCTGAAGGCAGGAAGGGATTTCTTAGGTTTTATCTTTTCTATCCTTGGCTTCTGGCTAATTAGCTGGCACAGAATAGGTGCTCAATGAGTCTCAGCCAAAGTGAAATGAATTGAAGTACACGTTCTCACTTGGGCCAGTGTGGAAAGCTGACTGCTAAGGAGGAGAATTCAGAAAGAGAGATGCGATGGCCAATAGCTCACACCCACTCCTGACTCTCAGATCAGCCTGTCACAGAGGGTGCTTATCAATCCTGACATGCCATTCAGACCCCGGAGTTTTCTTGGGAACTTCAGGGCATGGGCTGCAAAGAGACTGAGACAGAAGTGGACTTTATTCCCCTGAAGGAGTCAGCCTGTGACCTGGATCTGACCTTGTCCAAGGCAAACACCTGCTGGGGAGGAAACAGGATGTGGCCAGAGAAGTAAAAAGCCTTGGTCTGACCAAGGGAACTTTTACGAGTTGTGAGGCATGTGTATAAGCATGTGTGAGGAGGGACAGAAAGGAAGAAGGGAGAGAGAGAAGGAGGGAGAGGAAGAAGGGTGAGAGGGAGGGAGAGGAAGGAAAAAAGAGAGAAAAAGAGAGAGAGAAGGAGAGAGAGAAGACAGAGAGAGAGGGAGGGAGGAAAAGAAGGAAGGAGGGAGGGAGAGAGAGACAGACAGATAGACACAGACAGACAGAGATAGAGAGACAGAGATGCAGTGAGAGGGAGAGAGAGAGAGAGGAAGAAGGGAGAGAGAGGAAGGAAAGAAGAGAGAGAAAAAGAGAGAGAAAGAGGGAGGGAGGGAGAGAGAGACAGACAGCTAGACAGACACAGACAGACAGAGATGGAGAGACAGAGACACAGTGAAAGGGAGAGAGAGAAAGGAAGGAAAGAAGAGAGAGAGAGAGAGAGAGAGAGAGAGAGAGAGAGAGAGAGAGAGAGAGAGTGAGAGCTGAGAATCAGATCAGACAGGACTAACCCAGTGCCATGTGCCTCTGAACCTGGTCTCCTCTTCCCCTCCTAGGACATGCTGAAGAACACCTCCAAAGGTCACCCAGACAGGCTGTCCCTCCAATTGGCCCTCACAGAGCTGGAGACGCTGGCTGAGAAACTGAATGAGCAGAAGCGGCTGGCTGACCAGCTGGCTGAGATCCAGCAGCTGACCAAGAGCGTGAGTGACCGGAGCAGCCTCAACAAGGTGAGGGCAGATGTTGGCCAGCTCTTCTGTGAAGCATCTAGCCCGGGGACAGAGCCTCAGAAAGGCTCCACTCCTCACTGTGATGGAGCGGCACTGGGATCTGGGGCACATCCTCTGGATGCCTCAGTGTCCCAATAATGTAGCGATAGAAAGAGCTCAAACGCTAGACTAAGAGGGAGCTGGGTTCGAATTCCACCTCTGATGTTTACAGTCTGTGTGATCTTGATGAGTCACTCACTCACTATCTCTGGGTCTCAGTCTCCTCCTCTGTAAAATGAGGCGATTAGACTATGTGGCTTCTGAGGCCTCTTCCAGTCCTACATTTATGATTCCCTGATACACTAAAGTTTTCTCTGATGCCTCATTGGGACTCAAACACGACCCCAGGTCTCCAAGGCTTTGTTGGTGGATTCTACCAAGGTCAAAAGACTTCGCCCATGAACAGACTGGTCTGAAGTAGTCTGGGGACCAGTCCAGTGGGACCTGGAGAGGTCGGTTACTAGGGTGATGATGAAGTTTTTCATCCCAGTAAATCAGGAAGATTCTGTTGCAGCAGGGGAAAAAGCAGCCTACTGGATTGGGGTGCCAGAGGACCTGGGTTTAGACCTTGCTCCTTCTAGTTTCTACCTATGGGACCCCAGGTAGATCACTTCTTCAGGCCTCAGTTTCCTCATCTGTAAAATGGCTTCACCTCCATCTCTAAATCTATGACCCCATGAGCCATGACTTTGTGATTCTGCATCAGTATAACGGCAGGGGTTGGAAAACTAGGGTCCGAAGGTCAAATCCACTCTTCGCTCCCACAGAGGGGGATATTCAGAAAATAGGTGATAGGTCATAATATTTGCTATCCTCTGGTGCGGAGTAATGGGCATCCATGGAGATCTCTGGTTGTGCTTGGCATCGTTGTAGAGAATGCCAATGACTCCTGAAAGCATGGAGGTAGATTATGACCGTGCCTACCTTGTAGGACCCGTGGGAGGAAGGTACCCAAAACCTCAGAGCTCCACAGTAATGAGCGTTACTATTACATATCCTCATGAACAAACAAAAGGAAGGGCCCCGTCCAGGCAAAGACTCTTCCACAAGGTGGCAGGGTTCTTTCATGCCTGCCCTGAGCTGGGGATGGGAGGGGGAGGCAGTGCAGACCCCATGAGCCGCTGCCCCCAGCCCTGCCTTGGGTCTGAGAGAGGGTCAGATGCCGTGGATGCCTCAGCCTCAAGGGCATTCATGTTGAATTTCAGCTGTCCTACCGCCTCTGACCAGGGTCTCCCTCTTTGATAAATAATCCTGGGTCCGTCCTGGTGCACAGTAATTTTCACCAGCTGGCTTCCTCTTCTCCTCCTTGGTTCTTTTCTTTGGCCCTGCTGGAAAAGACCTGAAGAGCTGACATTTCTGTGCTGCCTTAAGGTCTGCAAACCACTGCCCAGACAGAGCCTCATCTGCTCCTCACAACAGCCCTGGCTGGTGGGGGCTATTATCATTCCCCATTTTATGGATGGGGAAACTGAGGCAGGCAGCGGTGAAGTGACTTGCCCTGAGTCACACAGCTAGGAAGTGTCTGAGACTGGAAAGACCTAGTGGGTACAGTGAGAAAGTGTATTCTGTATATACATACATATCTACATACGTACCTGCCTACCTACACACATGTACACATACCTGTACACTTACATACCTACACATGTCCCTACATACACAATCCACACATACCAACATACTTAGCAGCTCTATACACACATGCATGCATGTACACACCTACACATTTACCTGCCTACATAGTAAGGCGTGCATATATACCTCTACAAATGTGTGTATGTATATATACATGCCTGTACACATGGACATGCAGATACACATGCCTACACACATACCTATCTACGTACATACACACATACATAGACACATGCATACATACCTATATACTTACCTGTCTACACACACACATACATGCCTACATACCTCCCATGCATATGCACATACATGTCTATATGTGTGTATACATGGACACACACATATACACAAACATTCATACATACCCGCACACTCATGTCCAGACATAATACATATTATATGTTTGTGTGTGTTGTTTTCCTTAACGATCTGTGAGACCCTTCAGAAGAGGGCATTTACATTTTTGGGGCTTGTATCCCCTTGGCCTGGCATGGTGCTCGGCATGTAATACATCCTTAATAAAAGCTTGGTGGCTGTCTGGTCCATTCAGTAGGATGTCAGCTCCTTGAAGGCCTGGGCTATTTCATTTCTGTCCAGCTATCCCCAGTTCCTGCTTCGGAGTAGACAATAAATGATCCACCATTATCTTGGTTGAGTTTCCCTGCTTTCAGAATTAGGGAACCTGAGTTCAAATCCCATCAAGACTGCCCACTCCTGGAGTGACTTTGAATAGGTCATATATTCTCCCTGGGCCGAGTTTCCTCATCTGTAAAATGATGAGGTTGGACTAGATCGTCTAGTTCCCTTCTGTCTCGGAATCCTTTGACCTTGGCCGTTGGGGCTGGCTAGAATCTGTTCCAGATGGGATACTCTTGTTGACTTCCTTTTCATCGTAACCACTGGGTCCCCCTTTTCCGGAAAGGAGCCGCTGCCCTCAGCAGAATGCCAGCTCAGCAATCGCCCATCTAGTTCAGGGCTCTAAGAATTAGTGTTGGGGACTGGCATCCACTTGCCTGTCCTTCCCTGGTTTGGAGAAATGAAACTGGGCATAGCGGGAAACAGAAGTAAATTAGCTGTTTCACAATGTGCCCATTCAGGACCCCAGAGAGGAATGTTTGTGAAATATCCTGTTTTAATTTGGGGGATTTTTTTCCACTGGCGAGCAGCACAGGGTGGTTGCCAAAAGCCTAAGGGACTTTCTTTGGTCGTTGTTTCTTTGCGGGCCTCCACATGGGCTCATAGCATGTCCGAGCTAGGAGGGGCCTTGAAGAGCATCCTGAACGTGAATGTGAATCTATGCACGTGATAAATTCCCATTCCAGCCAGCTTTCGCTTGAAGACTTTGAGGGAGGGGAACTCAGGACCTCCCTTAGCAGGGTCTTCTCATACCTCTACTTAGTAGGTTGTTTTTTTCAGATAATAATAAGAACGATGAAAAAACAACAGCTGCCATAGCTAATACTTTTATATAATGTTTGAAGGTGTGCAGAACACTTTCTGTTTTCTAATTTGATCCTCACAACAACTGTGTCAATCATTAAATATTTGTTAATATGTGCCAGACGCTGTGCTAAGTTCTAGGGATACAAATATGAAAAAAAGACAGTCCTTGCCCTCAGGGAGCTTACACTCTAATGGGGGGGATGATAACACTTACAGGGAAGCTGAAAAGTAGGAGTGGAGAAGGGGTTCCTGAGAAAGGTACCTCACACAGGGGCATAGTGGAAAAGGCAGGAAAGTCCCAAAGTAGTGTAGCAAGATGAAAAATGAGGTGATGTTCTGAGCTGAACTCTCTCCTTCAATGGAGAATTTGGAGTACATGGCTCCACCCTCCAATCCAACTTACCCTGGGAGGTAGGTGCTGTTATTATACCCATTTTACAGATGAGGAAACTGAGACAGACAAGAGGTTAAGCTACTTGTCCAGGGTCACACTGCTAACAAGTGTTAGTTTGACATGAATCTGCAGGATTTGAACTCAGGTCCTCCTGACTCCCAAGTCCAGCACTCTTTCCACTTGGTCACCTCTTCCCTTCTTTCCAAGTTCCACCCATTCTGTCCTGGTTCTGCCCCTCGAGGCCAAGCAGAACCAGATCTCTACCTTTTCCATGTAATAGCTCTGAGATGTTTAAAACCTTTTCAGCCCAGCTGTAAGGCCTACTCCCTCTCTGTCTCCCTGCTTCTCTTCTCCATTTCCCATTTCTGCAGCCAGTCTTCAGATGGCGTGATCTGAAAGCCCTTCACCAGATACTTTTTAGCTTATCAGTATCCTTCCTAAAATGTGATGCTCAGAAGTCAACCCAGTATTCTACCTGTGGTCTGATGAGGGCAGGGCACAGCCAGACCATTGCCTCCCTGGTCCTACCAGTGCAGCCTAAGATGGTGTTTGATTTGGCATCCTCTGAACCACAGTGAACTTGTGGGCCACTAAAATCCCTAGATCTTTTTTCAAAGTGTTGACTGTCCTCCACTCTTCCATCTTTGTTAGGGCTCTGAGTTATTTAGGGTTTCTTCCCTGATGAAGGTCATGGCCACTAATGTCCAATGATAGAGATTGAACTACATCTTTTTTTAGGATTAGATAGTCAAAAACATTTATTAATCACAAGATTATAGATTTATTACTCTTGTTGTTTATGAATCACAAATCATAGATCATAGTTTATGGGATCAGAGACTTAGGGCTGGAAGGATTGTTCAGGGCTGTCTGGTCTAAGCCCCTCAGAGGAAGAATCAAACCCAGAGATGTTAAGTGAATCGTCCAGGGTCACATACATAGCATTTAGTGGAATCACCACCAGATAATGCTCATCCACATAGTGGAAATAAATTCTTCATTTGCTGTTATGAGGGACACATATCACGCAGCATCATGGCATAGTAGAAAGAACGCTGAACTTTACATAATGAAGCATGAGTTAGTCTCAACTTTGGCTCAACTTAATATCTGTATAATGAAGTCTCTGAAGCCCTAGTTTTTTCATCTGTGAAATGGGAATAAGAATCATTGTGCTAGCCCCCTCTTTCTTTCACTACCTGGAAAGAAAGTACTTTGCGTTAAATACATCTATTGAATATGAATTGCTTTATTTTTATCTTAATACTAATAGAGAACATGGAATTGCCATTGATGGGGGCCCCTAGTCCCATTAAGGTTGATAGCTGTATTACTTCCCCTGCTCTTGTATTAGAGAGAGCCTCCACTTAAATGATCTTATTGCTCTGTTCTTTGAAGGAGTTGACCAGGAGTTCTTGGAGGGGTAAGCTTAGCTGAGCATAAGCTCAGACAGGCTTCACCAGATGAGAAAGATTCCATTATGGGCCTGGTGACAGACTGCATGTGTTGTGATGACTAGTCTGGCTATGTTTGGAAAGAAAGTTGGTTACCAAGGAGTGGTAATTGTTTGGCCATAGAATCACAGATCTAAGTCTGGAAAAGACTTTAGAGTCCAGCTTGTCCAAACCTGCCTCTTCCTCTTATTTTACAGATTAGGAAACTGAGGCCCAGGGAGGTTAAGTGAAAAATGTCATCCTAGGAAGTATATGGCGGGTTGATTGGCCTAGGAGTCAAGAGTAGGATGAGATGGAACTTTGAGTGCTGAATTACAGTGTCTCACTCCATGCCCTCTGGTGCCAGCTGGGCTGAAGGCTGGTGTTGATTTAGACCTGTGGTCCTCTGTCTTTTTATAGCTGCTGACGTCGGGCCAGCGGCAGCTATTGCTGTGTGAGACCCTGACGGAGACGGTGTATGGGGACCGTGGGCAGCTTATCAAGTCCAAGGAGCGCAAGGTTTTCCTGCTCAACGACATGCTGGTGTGTGCCAACATCAACTTCAAGTAAGTGGCCTGTTGGCTCCTCCCTGTGATGGCGGAATCTTTGTTCTGCCCCATAAAAGTGGGGGAAGGGAGTGAGAGGAGGGGTCATCTGGAGTGTACCTTTCTTACCCTAGTCCAGTCCCTTGGCAACACCATTCAGATGCAAGGATTCTTTCTTCTTTAAGACCACGGCTATGGGGGTTATTGATTAGGGAGCTTCTGGTCCCCGGTCAATAGCCCAAGGATGCTGCAGAATCCCAGAGTGGGCCTTGCATCTGATCCCTGGCTTTGGGCAAGTGACTGTCACAGCCATGGGGTAATAGAAAGAGCTTCGCTTTTAGTGTTAGAGGCACTGGGTTTGAAGCCCACCTCTGCTCCTTAGCTATCTGTGTGATGTTGGGTAGGTCCTTTTACTCTTCCGGGCCTCAATTTCCTCTTCTATAAAATGAAGGCTTAGACTAGATCACCTTTCAGACCTCATCTACTTCTGACATCCTGTGTTTTAAGGACCCCTCCCCACCCAGCTCTGACATTCTGTGTTTAAGGCCCCTCCCAGCTCTGACATCCTGTGTTCTAAGGTCCCTCCTGCTCTAACATTCTGTGCTTTAAAGTCCCTTCTAGCTCTGACATCCTGTGTTTTAAGGCCCCCCTCACCTCCCAGCTCTGACATTCTGTGTTTAAGGCCCCTCCCAGCTCTGACATCCTGTGCTCTCAGGGCCCTCCAAGCTCTGACATCCTGTGTCCTAAGGGCCCTCTGAGCTCTGACATCCTGTGTCCTAAGGGCCCTCCCAGCTCTGACATCCTGTGTCCTAAGGGCCCTCCCAGCTCTGACATCCTGGGTCCTAAGGGCCCTCTCAGTTCTGACATCCTGGGTCCTAAGGGCCCTCCCAGATCTGACATTCTGTGTTCTAAGGGCCCTCCTGCTCTGACATTCTGTGCTTTAAAGTCCCTCCCAGCTCTGACATCCTGGGTCCTAAGGGCCCTCCCAGTTCTAACATCCTGGGTCCTAAGGGCCCTCCCAGCTCTGACATCCTGGGTCCTAAGGGCCCTCCCAGTTCTGACATCCTGTATTCTAAGGGCCCTGCCAGCTCTGACATCCTGGGTCCTAAGGGCCCTGCCAGCTCTGACATCCTGGATCCTAAGGGCCCTCCCAGATCTGACATCCTGGATCCTAAGGGCCCTGCCAGCTCTGACATCCTGGATCCTAAGGGCCCTCCCAGCTCTGACATCCTGTATTCTAAGGGCCCTGCCAGCTCTGACATCCTATGTCCTAAGGGCCCTTTCAGCTTTGACATTCTGTGTTCTTCTAATTCCGACATTCTATGCCTTAAAGTCTCACCTGGAATCCTGGAATCCTATGAAAAGGTAATTTTTTGTTCTTCTTTTGAAGATTGACTTTGGGAGGACAACTCCAGCACCTCTTCCTTAGCTCTCCCACTTCAGGACTATCTCTTCTTGATGTTGCAGGCACTTTTTCTTTCATCTAAACCACATCCCTTGATTTTATCTGAGCACATGCTTACTTGGCTTGAAAGCTTTTGCCTCTGGGTGCACACCTTCATAACTTGTGTTCCTGGATGGGAGGTTCCTAGTTTTGGGTCAGACGCTTGAAGGAAAGTCCTGGGACCAGAATGGACTTGTCTGATTGAGAGCTGAAAGGGCCTCAGATAGTCCATCGCCCTCCTTTTAGAGAAGACGAGCCTGAGGCCCAGAGAGTCTGGGGCGTCCTTCAGGTCAGCAGGGTTATAAACGGTAAAGCCGGGATCTGAGCCCTGCTCCTCTGACTGCAGTGCTCCATTCACGCCATCGCACCACACTGGCCCCTCTCCCTCTGTTATCATCAGTAACGTTTTGGTGACAGCCTTGCTTTCCCAGTGTCAAACACAGAGAATCCCAAACCTAATTAAATCGTGCCACAGGGCTTTGGATTTTGTGGGTCTGGCTCACCTGTGCCATCACTCCCAATGAATACTCACTTCTCACTCACTTATTCAGTTAACTCAAGAAGGGACCGCAAGTGCAGTAAAAGGAGAGGTAGGGGAAAGGGGAAGAGGTGGGGTGGCAATGTACCAGATTTGGGTAGTAGAATGTAAGCCCCTTGAGGGCAGGGCCTGGTTTTTGTTTCTCTCTTTGCAATCTCCAAGACTTTTAGTGGGTATTTAATAAAGGCTTGCTAAACAAACAAATAAAGAAATAAATAAAAGCATTTCTAAATGAATGAATGAATGAATAAATGGATGGATGAATAAATGAATGAGTAAATGAATAAGCAGCTCACAGTAGAAATACGGGAAGGTCATTCCTCTAAGGTAGCCAAGTGACTTAATGCAGAGAGGACTGGACCAGGAGTCAGGAAGGCTTGAGTTCATTCTTATCCCATACACTTACTAGGTGTGTGACCCTGGGCCAGTCATTTAACCTAATGTCTGTAACATGCTTAGCACTGTGTTGGCATGCTGTTCCCTTCTCTTTGTTCCCCTGTCTGCTTCAGTTTCCACATCTGTAAGATGGGGATAAAAATAGCACCTACCTCCTGGCTCATCAAAGATAAAATTAGCTGATATTTGTAAAGCTCTTTGCAGGCCTTAAGGTACTATATAAATCCTAGCTGCTATTACTGTTATAATTATTATTCCCACATCTATTCATTCAAGAGACTTATTAAGGGCTTTCTACGTGTAATTGGAAGAGATACAGAGTATAGATAGGACCAGGTCCCTGTCTTCACAGAGCTAACATCTTTGTAGGGGAAGAAATCACCAACATAGATGTAATCCTCTATGGTAATTGATTGGTATATTTGAAATTCAGAACAAAGTGCTTTGTGAAATATGAAAGGAAAGATTAATTCTGATGGGGAACAAGAGTGGACTATTTTTCTGCCCACCCCCCAGGACCCACCCTAGTGTCCTGCCCAGAGCAGTTCTTAGCTTACATTAGAAATCAGTACTCATAATGACCTTGCATCCTTCTTGTCTTTCTCAGGCCTGTCAACCACAGGTAGGTGGGACAGGAGCCTTGGCGCTCCAAGACGGGGATTTGAATGTGGTTTTGGTGCTGGGGCTGGGCTTGCCTGGTGCTTCTGACTTAGTTTAATCTTGGTGTGGGGGCTGCCATTTGGGGCTGCATGGTTTGTGGCTGAGCTGCTCAAAGGGGGATGATGGGAGTCTCAGGAATGGGGAGGGTGAACAACTGGGATCCTCCCTTTCCTTTCCACAGGGGACAGCTGGAGATCAGCAGCCTGGTCCCCCTGGGCCCTAAATACGTGGTGAAATGGAACACAGCCCTACCCCAGGTACAGGTGGTAGAAGTGGGCCAGGAAGGTGGCACCTATGATAAGGACAATGTCGTCATTCAGAATGCTGGTGCCAAGAAGTCTTCTCCAGCCAGCCAGGCCCACAGTGAGTGTCTCATCTTTTTCCTTCTCCCTTCCCCATCTCCATCCCCAACTCAGCTCCAAGGTATCACCCTTTCACCACCATCTTCCAGAATTTCTGGCAGAGGAAAGAGGACCAGATAGAAATGCAGGCTCAACTCTCTGGGTCTCTTATTTTTCATCTCTAAGGTTACCTAGGATCTATTAACAGCCAAATCCAATCCTTATCCTCTGATCTTTACTTAGCTTTTGACCTCCTTTTCCTTTTGTGAACCTGGGTTTCTTCCTACCTCTCTGACCACTTCTCAGTTCTCTTTGCCTATGCCACCATCCATCTGTCTCTCTCACTCCCTGTGCAGGTGTCCTCCAAGATACTCTCCTGGGTCCTAGTCTCTTTTCTTTAGATATACTTCCTTGGTGATGTAATCAACTCCTTTGTGGTCCATTAGCATCTCCGTGTTTTAATTCCCAAATCTCTTCTCTCTTCTCTCTCTCTCTCTCTCTCTCTCTCTCTCTCTCTCTCTCATTTATCTCTCTTCTTTCCCTTTTCTCTCTTTCCCTCTCTTTTATATAAATATATACACATGTGTGTATATGTATACACATACATGTACAATTTGTATATAATTATTATATATACATAATTATATGTAATTTATATATATGCACATAAATAAAAACAATGTACAAATATATATTATACATATACACATAGATAAATGAAATCGCCAACCAAATCTCTGCTGAATTCAAGTTTAGCAGCTGCCTCCTAGGCCTTTCACCTGAACATTCTAATAGCATCTCAGAGGCACACTATGTCCCCAAACTGAGTTCATCTTCCTTCCCCTTTAACCTGCTTCCTTTCTAAACCTCTCAGTGTCACAGCTGGCACCATCTTCCCAGTCTCCCAGGCTTGTAGCCTCATAGTCATCTTGGACTTCTCCCTCTTCCTCAGCTTTGTATCACATCAATTGTCATATTTTTTATTCCTTTTAAATAGTATTTTTTTTTCCTATTACATGTAAGGACAATTTTTAACATTCATTTTTAATCAAATTTTGAGTTCCAAATTTTCTCCTTCCCTTCTCCCTAAGATAGCAAGCAATTTGATATATGCTATGTATGTTTAATCACATCATGTCTTTTTAAAAAATTAATTCAAATTTTTAAAAATAAGCGCACTTTAATTTTAATTTATTGTTGTTGTTCAGTCATTTCAGTGATGTCTGACTCTCCTTGACCCCATTTAGAGTATTCTTGGCAGAGATACTAGAGTGGTTCTCCATTTCCTTCTCCAGCTTATTTTACAGATGAGGAAATTAGGGCAAGATTAAGGGTTAAGTAACTTGCCCAGGGTCACACAGCTAGGAAGTGTCTGAGGCTGGATTTGAACTCAGGTCTTCTTGACTGGGGCTGTATCCATTGTGCCACCTAGCTGCCCCTCATTTTCCCTGATTTCTCCTCCAATGTAAAAAGAAAAAGAAGAGTCAAAGCTTGGTAACAAATTTGCACAGTGGAGCAAACCGGTCCCACGTTGGCCACATCTGAAAACGTATGTGTCCTTCTGTGTTCTGGGTCCATCATGGCTGCATCCGTCTGGGAGGAGGGTAGCTGCTGCTCTGGAGCCGTGGCCGGTCATTCTGTCGATCAGAATTCTTTCCCAGCTCTGTGTCTTTGCAGCATGGTTTGTCTTTGTATGAAATTCGCTCCTCGTTGTTTCCCTTTGTTCTGTGTCTGTTCACACTCACGGTCTTGGTGATTCTGCACCGACAGCCTCTCTGGAATCTGTCCCCTTCTATCCATCGCCTTTCCTGTGAACTCTTATGACGGCTCCTGATTGGTCTCCCTGCCTCCACTAACTCCTCTCCCAATCCATATTCTGTAACTGGCAGATTAATGCTTCTAAGGCAAACATTGACCATGTCACCCTCCTCCAAAGCTTTGAGCTGTTCTCGGTGGCCTGGAGGATTAAACAGAAACCTCCCAGCGGCCCTCTGCAAACTGGCTTCAGGCTAAGCTTTCAGGCTTTTTTCTATCACTCCCTGTTTATGCATCCTACCTTCTGGCCAGAGTGGACAGCGGGCTGTTCCCTGAGCTCAGCATTCTCTCTCCTGGGCCGGTGCATTTGAACAAACCTTTTCCCTCTCAGAATCCTTAGGTCCCTTCGGGGTTCAGTGCAGGGCTCACCTCCTCCTCGAAGCCCCCCCACCCCAAGCTCTCTGCTTTTGATACTCTCTTCCCTCCTCAGGTTACCTTGTATTTATACTCATCAGTATACATGTTGTACCCTTCCCACTTCCAGCCCCTCAGAGAATAGGAGCTCTTTGGGGGCAAAAACTCCTTTACTTTTGCCTTTAATCCCCACTGATGAGCATAGCCAGAATGTAGCACATAGCAGGTACTTAATATGTATTTGTTGAATTGATTATAATACTTGCAGTCCCTTGTCCTGGGGTTCTTGCAATGACTATGTTCTGGGCACTATCAAATGCTTCAAGAATGTGGCTTGTTATTATTTTTATGGCCTGGCTAGAGGCTAGATCTCTATCCACCACCCTATGATGCCTCTCATCATAGGTGGGTCAGTGGGTAGAGCTCTGGACTTGGAGTCAGGAAGACCTGAGTTTGAATCCTGCTTCGTACACTAGCCTTGTGGCCCTAGGCGAGTCACTTCGTTGCCCCCAGCCTCAGTTTCCTCATCTGTAAAGTGGGGGTAATAATAGTACCTACTTCACAGAGCTGTCTGCAGATCAGATGAAGTAATATCTGTAAAGGGTTTTGCAAGCCTTTGTGTTAGGTGTCTGTTAATTATTATCTGTAGAGTTGTGAGGCAGCTCTCATTAATATTATCATCATTATTATTGTCTTCATAATTGCCCTGTGAGAACAATAAATGATTGAATGAATCTCAGTAAATACTCAGCTCGCCAGCCCTGATGATTTTTTTGAGAGGGGAAGGGAGAGGGAGGTATAAAATCTAATCCCCCTTTGTAGAGTCATGGCATAGTAGATAGAGAGCTGGCTCCAGGGCTGGGGGGAGGTTGCAGGTTCAAGTCCTTCCCCTGACACATGTTGGTTGTGTGACCCTGGATAAGTTCCTTAACCTCTCCCGGGCAACTCTGACATGAGAAATTGAAAAGCAGATGCCAGGTGGCATGAGTGGAAGGAATTTCATCACTGAGAGTTCCTTCTACCAGTGCCTAGTTTAAAAAACAAAAAACAAAACAACCCCCTCTCCCCCAGTAGAGTCACTGAACCTTGGAATGTAATTCTGTACATAGGAACATTCTCTTCTTTGATCCTACTAGCAACCCCTTTTGAGCTAAGCAGGATAGGAATTATCATCCCCATTTTACAGAGGAGGAAACTAAGGCCCAGAAAATGAAAATGTTTTATCTAGCATAATTCAGGACAGACCCAGGATTCTGAAGCCTTTTTTCCAAGGCTTTTTCTACTTTTCCTAGGTGACCAGAACATCTGTATGACCCTGGTTGTTTCAACTGGGCTACTCTGGGCCCCCTCAGCGTAGGGCTGTCAGATGGCATGGATGGGGGCTATCTTCTCTTTCTAGGGAGGGTGTTTGGGGTCTGTGGTGGGGTGCTCACCCCAGTACCACACCATCCTCGGTCTGAAGAGGGTGCCCAGATTTGCTTCCTTGCTCCTGCCAGCTGTAGGGGAACAGCTAGGTCTGGGAGGAGGCAGTAGGTGGGGGCTCACCTCTTTCTGCCTGCCCTGGCAGAACCATTCAGGAAGTGTGGAGGGAGTGTTCTCTGTGAGGCAGTTCTCTGTGCGTTCTCTGTGAGGCAGCCTGGGATGGGCACGTGACCAGAGGGGCCCCTTTGGGGAATTCTCTCTCTCCCTGGCCCCCTTTCTAATTAATAGAGCAACTGGATCGATGGAGTAGAACATGCTTGGACTCCTTTTCATGCATCACTCTTCAGAGAAGCTGCTTCTGAGGGTCTCCTCCTTCCCCCCTTTTCCTTTCTTCTCTTTCTCCTTCCCTTCCTCAGATGCCTTCCTTCAAAGAAGCTCCCTGGCCCATGGCTCTTCCCACCTACTTAGGTGCTGCTCATTAGAGACCATCCTTGTCATCAGCCTATCTCCCTGAACATCTCCTTCATCTAATCCATACATAGAGGACCCCCCCCCCGAATACACACGTGGCTTTCTTTTCCTATAGTGAGAAAGCCTCCCCCATGGAATCCCTCCAGAAGCAGCCAGAGGAGCAAGCTGGGTTTTAGAGGCTGTTGATAAAGATAGTGAAGATGAAGATCATAGTTACTATGAATGTTTGGAGAGGCAGTGCAGCCTAATGGAAGACCTACTGACAAGTCCCATCTCTGACACATACTGGCTGTGTGACCTTGAATGACAGCCTCTCAATGCCTCAGTCGAGTCTCTAAGACTTTAAGCTTTGGAGCAGGGGCAGATCTGCATTGGTGGGGCTTCTTTTCATGCCAGGAGTACCTTACTCTAATAATAAAATCAAGGGCTCTGACCAAATTATATATGTAAACATGATTATAAACGTATGTATATAATCTCTTATGCGTGTTCACCGTGTCATGCTTTCACAACCATTACTTCACTGAATCTTTCCAATTATAGGATGTTAGATTTAGATCTAATTATTCAGTTGTTTTCAGTCATGTCCAACTCTCTGTGACCTCATTTGGGGTTTCCTTGGCAAAGATGCTAGAGTGGTTTATCATTTCCTTTTCCAGTTTATTTTATGGATGAGAGAACTGAGGCAAACAGCGTTAAGTGACTTGCCCAGGGTCACACAGTTAGTAAGTGCCTGAAGCTGTATTTAACTCAAGTCTTCCTGATTCCAAGCCTGGGGCTCTATCCACTGCACTACTTAGCTGCCATAGAGAAGAGCCCAAAGGCCATCTAATTCAATGCCATCATTGTGTAGAAGAGGAAACTGAGGCACAGGAAAGCTAAGTGGCTTGCCAGAGGTCACACAAGTACCATGAGTTAGAAGTGGGATTTGAACCCAGATCTTCAGAACCAGTGTTCTTTCAACTATATCACAATGGCTCTTTCAGGGAGATAGGACAGGGAAGCAAGCACTGGATTTGGACTCCAAAAGACCTGGATCTGAATCCTGGCTCTGCTACTTATGACATGTTTGAGCGTGGATGTGTCACTTTCTGTATCTGGGCCTCAGTTTCATCATCTGTAAAATTAGGGGTTGGATGGGATTACCTCGAAGATTGCCTCCACCTTTACTCTATAATTTAAGATTCCCATTTTACAGATCATTTTACAGACAAGGAAGCTTGGCCTGAGAGGGAAGTGATGACCCCAGATCACACAGCTGGGCACATTGGCCACGTTAGTGGCCAGGGCACTACTGGGGTGATGTGCTCTTGACTCCCAGAGCAGCGCTAATCGTCTGTGGCCTAGCAAACCTAATGGCTTCCACAGACTGCCTCCAATCTTAGGGGAAGCCCCTGCAGATCCTTCTATTTCTCATTTTGCTGCTCACCCAAAGTATCTCTGGGAAAGCCACATTAGTAGATGTCTGGTCAGACAGTGCAGATGCACTCAGGGCTGCCCACTGCCCTGCTGTTGCTCGGTAAGCTAGTTCATGCTCGTTTATCTGGGCATCTATCTGTGCAAGGTGAATGAGCGAATTATTCTGCTTTTTTCCTGCCCTCCTTATCCTGGCCTGTGCCTGAGTTCTACGTCTTCTCTTTCCCAGACAAGGTGTACCTTGGGCCCCCTCGCCTCTTTCAGGAGCTGCAGGATTTGCAGAAGGACCTGGCTGTGGTTGAGCAGATCACCCTGCTCATCAGCACCCTCCATGGCACCTATCAGGTACTGAGAGCGCCTTGGGCAGAGCTCCGGGGGCCCAACTGTCAGGCAGGTCAGCAAAAGCGTCCGTTATCCTTGCTCAGTGATGGGTCAAGATTCAACAGGAGCTAATGCTGATTATGAGTTAGGGACTGTGCGTCCATTCCCTTGAGGGTATTTTGGGGCTGTCTAGAGTGACAGTGTTGGCAGCCAACCTCACACCCACCTGGAAATCTCATGTGAAGCTTCCAGGGTAGGGCAAGGTGTTGATTATGGTGAAACATCCCAGACATCGCGAACTCCCTAGAAAAGAGATCATTCCTTTATGTGGTCCGTTCTTGGGACATCGCTCTGACTTGACAGTCCTGGTCATCGTCATCGTCGTCATCATTGTCTACCATTCCTATACCTCTTTACATGTATTATCTCATTCATTCTCATAACCACCCTGTCTGCGGCTCTTTTATTATCCTCATTTTATAAATGAGGAAACTGAACTGAAGTGACTAGCCACAGCTGGTGTTGAGTGGGTAGAGTCAGCTTGGGTCTCCCTTACTACAAGTCCTACATTCCACCTGCCATCCCACCTAGCTGTCAGGAAGTCAGTGACTCAGTCAGTAAGCATTTATTAAGTCCTATGGAGTGCCAAGCACAGTGCTAAGTGCTGGTGATACAAAGAAAGGCAAAAACATGGTCTCTTCCCTCGGGTACTCACATTTTAATGGGGGAGAAAGCATGCAAAGTAGGTACACAGCCGTGTCATAAATAGAGGGCAGTCTCAGAGTGAAGAGAGCTGGCATCACAGACCGAGCCTCCCAGCAAGCAGTGTCTCATCAGTCGTGCCCTTAGAGCCAAGCCAATCACAACGTCTCTCTTCAGCCAGAAGGAAGTTTGACTTGGGCTCAGGAGACTTGGCTTCCTCTTTCATTCCATTCCAGCCAGGATTCTTTAACTTCCCATCCTCCTCTATAACATCAGGCCTACTTGATCTATATAATAAAGTCAAGGGTCAGAGGTTACATCCCAGTGCAAAATTGTTCTGCTAAAAGTAGAAACTCCTGTGATTCCTTTCCTTCCCACCTTCACCTCCACAGTGAGAGCAATCCAGGATGGGATGGGACCATGGTGGGTTTTAGGAAAGCAGACAGATTGGGCAGTGACCTAATCAGCCCCCGCTGGGTAACCACTACGTACCCTTTCCATACTCTTCGTTTTTTTTTTTTCCTACACACAGAATTTGAACATGACAGTGGCTCAGGACTGGTGCCTTGCCCTGCAGAGGCTGATGCGAGTGAAAGAAGAGGAAATCCACTCTGCTAATAAGTGTCGTCTCCGTCTCCTGCTCCCTGGAAAGCCAGACAAGTGAGTAAAGGGTTTGAGAGGGAAAATGGTTTTCGATATCATGCCATTTAGCCAAGGTTTATTTTTAATTCATTTGTCCAACAAACATTTATTAAGCACCCACTTTGTGCAAAGCACTCTGCTAGTTGCTGGAGCTACAGAGGCAAAAATAAAAGTGTCTGCCCTCAAGAAGCTTACTACATTCAGGGGCAGCTAGGTGGCGCAGTGGATAGAGCTCTGGCCTTGAAGTCAGGAGGACATGAGTTCAAATCCAGTCTCAGACACATGACACTTACTAGCTGTGTGACCCTGGGCAAGTCACTTAACCCCGATTGCCTCACCAAAAAGCAAAAAAAAAAAAAACTAAAAAAAAACCCAGAGAAGCTTACTACATTCAGCTGGGGGAAACAGCACGTCCTCAGATATCCCTACAGGGTATCTACATATACAAGGTCTATTTCAGTACACACAAAGTAAATACACTACAATTAAACATCAATAGATCAGGCCTGGCTTTTGCATCTGGCTGGACTCCGTCTTGGGGTAACATCCTGGGGGGTTTCCAGGGATGGAGGCAACATGGACTGGGAAGAGGGAAGGAGGCACTTGGGAGACATCCTTTTCTCTGCAGCATCCTGAAGAAAAATAGCTCACATTTCTAGACTGCCCTCAAGCTTTTCTCACAACCATCCCATGATACCCCATTTTTAAAAAACTGAATTTACTAATCATTAATAAACACAAACACTTCAGTACATTAAGAGAATTGGATGCATTGTGAACTGTTATGTGCCATTTATATTTTCATATTTCACATTCAATGTGGAAGTTCCAACATTGCTCATTGCTTGTCTATATCTTCTTTTTTTTTGTTCATTTTTAATGAGTTGTAGATACTGTTTTTCCTTTACTGAAGTATTGGTATCACCATTCCCCCAAATTGCCCTTCCTCCCAACACAGATGACACCCCTCCTTTGTAGCGTCTAAGTTTAGTTGTGGAAAACAAATTTACCCATTGGTCATGTCTGAGAAGTCTCATTCTGACCCATCACTTTGCTGCCACAGATTGGGGAATAGTTAGACAGTTGTATAACATGAATGTAATATAAATACTACTGCACAGTAAGAGATGAAAATGGAGAATATGGAAAAGTATAGGAGGACTTATATGAACTGATCCCAGCTTCAGTGGGAAACATGCTTCAGTGTCTGTCTTTTGGAGTCACTGTACTGGGTGGAGTTGCTTTCACAGCTGGCTTCCTTTACGTCGTGGTAATCATTGTATCAGTTCTGGCTCTGCTTACTTCACTTTGTATCAGTGCATACAAATCCTCCTGGTATGTCTGAATCCCTCCCATTTTTCCTTTCTTATGATGCAATAATATTCCATCACGTGCATATGCCACAAAAATTTGTTCAGCCATTCTTTAATTGATGGGCACCCATATGACTTTTAGTCTTTGCCCCAACAAAACATGTTGCTATAAGAAGTTTTGTACCCATGCATGTTTTCCCTTTTTCTTTGATCTTTCTGGGGTATTGGATTAGTTCCATTTTTCCACATGAGCTTCAGAGAGAATAACTAACCAGTTTGCTCAGGGTCACACAGCTAGTGAGTATCAGGCTGAGATTTGAACTCATTTTCCCTGGTTCAGTGGTCTTTCCACCACATTATGTCAACTTTCTTTTTTTAATTTTTTATTCGTATCTTTCATTTAAAAATAATTTTATAGATATCTTTGGTTTTTAGATCATTACATTTCCAGTCTATCCCACTCTCTCCAAGAGAGTTGCCTTTTATACCAATGAGAACCTAAGAGAGCAGAGCTAACTACGTCTGACCTTATATGCAGAATTTGATAACCACAGTCCCCCACCTCTGCAAAGAAGGAAGATGCCGTCTCATAGCTCTTCTTTGTGACCAAGCGAATTAATTTTGGTTCCATAGACTTATTTTTGATTGTTTCATTCATGTTGTTATGGTCATGATTTATGTTGTTTTCTGATTTTCTTTCACTTGTATCAGTTCATGTAAGTCTCCCTATACTTTTCCATGTTCCCCATTTTTATAATTGCTGTTCAGTAGTATTTATGTTACATTCATGTTCTACAACTTGTTTATCCATTTCCCAATCAATGGGCATCTATCTTGTTTTCAGTTCTTTTCTAGTACAAAAAGTGCTTCTGTAAATATTCTGGTGTATATAGGGCCTTTCTTTTGATCAGTGAGTTCTTTGGGGGCATATTGACTAGCAGTGGAATTTTTCTGGCTCAGAGGGTATATAGATAGTTTCCTCACTTTCTTAGCTTAATTCCAAATTGCCTTCAAGCGTGGTTGGAACAATTCCCAGATACACCAATGCCCTGCCTGTCTTTTCACAGTCCCTCCAACACTGACTGTTCTTATCTTTTGTCATCTTTGCCAACTTTCTGGATGTGAGGTGAAACCTCGGGGCTGTTTTTATTTGAATTTCTCTCGTTACAGTGATTCAGAGCCATCTTTCCTATGACTGCTAATAGTTTATAATTCTTTTTCTTGTTTGTTCATATCCTTTGACCACCTATCCATTGGATGCTATGTTGATTTTCAGTGAAGTGGGTACACATGTTCTCCTGGCACCTTTTAAAAGTCAGCCTTGCAGAAAGATGTACTTGGCTACAGGTTAGGTTCTGGGGTAGCGTGGGCGCTTTATTAAGAGGTATTAAGTGATGGATTAGAAGCCTAGGGGATGGGGGTGGGGCTGAAGGCTAAGCATAGCCCATACCCCTGATGTGGTGGAGAGAGTATATAGGATTGGAAATCAGGGGACCCAGGTTCTAGTTCTTCCCTTACCTGAGGAGTGATGTGAGGCGAGTTACCTAGCATGGCGCCATGTTGATAAGAGTGCTAAACTTAGGAAGACCTAAGTTCAAATTCTGCCTCTGACATTAATTATCACTTAAAGTCAATTTCCTCATCTGTAAAATGGAGGCAATAAAACCTCTAGTGTTTTCCTCTCAGGGAGGTTCAAATATGATAATGGATATAAATGCACTTTGCCAACACTAAAGAGCTCTATACATATGCATTATTATTCCAGGAGGATATCAATTCCTTGATGATAAAGACAGTTTCCAGTTTGTCTTTGTATTTTCAGTACCTGGCATGAAGTGACTTCTATATGTTTCCTTTTTTGGGGGAAGGGGAATCTAGACCCCTGATTTCATGAGGGTGAAGAACTCCTAGTGCAGAATTTCCCTCCACAGGGGACGAACAATAACTCATCTCTAACTTACTGTCATAGGAGGGGGAAGATGTAAGTAATGTCATATCGTTTCTTTGGGCCCTATAGGGCAATGAGAGATTTAGTGACTTGCTCATGGTCACAGAGCTGCTATATTTCAGAGCCAAGACTTGACATTTGATTTTTCTGACTCCGAGGCTGGTCCCCCTTTTACCATACCATTCTTCCTATCATCTTGTAAACAGTTGGCATTTTAAAAATGCCTGTTGAAATGAGTTGAAGTGGCAAAGAATTGGAAATTGAGGGGATGCCTGTCAATTGGGGAATGGCTGAATAAGTTGTGGTATATGAGTGTGATGGAATACTATTGTGCTATAAGAAATGATGAACAGGCTGACTTCAGAAAAACCTGGAAAGACTTGCATGAACTGATGCAGAGTGAGGTAAGCAGAAAGAGGAGAATATTGTGCACAGTAACAGCAACATTGTGCAATGACCCACTTTGAGAGACTTGGCTCTTTTCAGGACTACAGTGATTCAAGACAATTCCAAAAGACTCATGATGGAAAATGCTATCCACATCCAGAGAAAGAACTGTGGAGTCTGAATGCAGATTGAAGCATATTATTTTCACTTTTTTTGTTTTTTATTTTTTCTTTCTTGTGGTTTTCCCCTTTTGTTCTGATTCTTCTTTCACAACATGACTCACGTGGAAATACATTTAACATGATTGTACATGTATAACCTGTATCAGATTGCTTGCTGTCTTGGGGAGGGAGGGAAGGAGGGAAAAAAATTTGAAACTCAAAATGTTATAAAAATGAATGTTGAAAACTATCTTTACATGTAATTGGAAAAAAAATACTATTAAGTGTAAAAAAAGAAAGAAATGAGTTGAAGTTTTCTAGGTCTTAGTCTGCCCACCTCTTCAATGGGTTAATTTGATAGATAGGGAACCTAAGGCCAAGTCACTACCCTCCTGCACATTTTGTGTAGGTTTTCTTTTTTTCTGGCTAGGCAATAGGGTTAAGTGACCTGCCCAGGGTCACACAGCTAGTAAGTGTTATGTGTCTGAGGTTGGATTTGAACTCAGGTCCTCCTGAATCCAGGGCTGGTGCTCTATTCACTGCTCCACCTAGCTGCCCCTCTCCTGCACATTTTGAAAAGCTGTCTTATACCCGGGGGACTCAGTCTGCAACAAGAATGGCACTTGCCATACTCACTGCCCCATGCCACCATCTTCAGAGAAAGAGAGAAAATATAAAAGGCCAAGGTGATCTCCCGAAAGGGAAGAGATCTCACTCAGTGCCTTGAAGGAAGAAAGGGACCTGATAACATCTCCCTTGTTCTCTGTCTCCCTGCCAGGTCTGGCCGGCCCATCAGCTTCATGGTGGTTTTTATCACTCCCAACCCCCTGAGCAAGATCTCCTGGGTGAACCGTCTACACTTGGCCAAAATTGGGCTCCGTGAGTACTCCAAGTGGGAAAGAGACTGTAGGGAGTGGGCTGGGCTGGGAGAAGATGGTATAGTGCACCGGGAAAGTTGAGCCAATCAAATGACAAGGATTGAGGCACCTACCAGGTGCCTCACAAAGTGTCATGGTCCCTGCTCTCCAGAAGCTTGTGTTCTGTTGTGTGCATTCATAGATATATGCAAGATAGTTACCAGGTATTTTGTGTGTGTGTGTGTGTGTGTGTGTGTGTGTGTATGAGAGAGAGAGAGAGAGAGAGAGAGAGAGAGAGAGAGAGAGAGAGAGAGAGAGAGAGAGAGAGAGAGAGAGAGACTAACAGCTAAGGGGATTAGGAAAGGTTTCACATAGAGCATGATGCTTGAACTAATTTTTGGAGCAAAACAAGGAATTCTAAGAGGAGGAGTTGAGAAGGGAGTCCATTCCAGGCATGGTGGATAACCATCGCAAAGGCTTGGAGATGAGAGATGGAGGAACAGCATAGCCAAGGAATTTCGAGAAAATCAGTTTGGATGGATGCTTACAGAAGATCAGTGGTCAGTGAAGGGAATTTTGGTCTGTGTGGTCACTGGGAGGGTGAGACGATGCATGAGGCAATCAGTGGACAAGCCCTTTCCAGAGGTAATGGTTGTATTGATTGGATGACTCAGCCCAGAGGTAAAGGTAGAGAGTGAGGGCTGGACAGGGCGGCCGAAAGATGACAAGATGGTAAAGATGGTAAGGTAGATGGCTGGATGGGACGTGCAAGGAGATTGTGGGTATTTATAAATAGCCGGGCTGGAAACCAAAGCCAAGTCTTGTGACCCCAGATCCAATGTTCTTTCCATCGGACCAGAATAGTCTCACAGACATATACAGAAAAGGGGCCCTAGAACATGGAATGGGAGCGCCGGAAGGGGCCTCAGGACAGAGAATGCTAGAGCTGGGAGAAGGGCCTTAAAACAGACTGTCAGAGACTTTAAATGGACTTTAGAGACCCGTCAGTCTTTCCTCTGCATTTTACAGAGTTGAAAATACTGTTTGCACTATCTCACTTTGTTTTAAATTTTTTTTATTGATTTAATATCACTTTCATTTCCAAATATATCCCTCTTTCCAGACCTTCCCAGACAGCCATTCTGTATTTTTTTTAAAGAAAGAGAAAACAGCAGCTTAGAAAAATTCACCATCGCATGCATTGTTCTGTACCCGTAGTCCCCCACTGCTGCAGAGAAGGGAGAGAGTTCCATTTTTCCATCTTGTCTGTGGGCTGGTCTTGCCTTATAATCCCCCGATATTCCCTTTGCTTTTGTTAAGGTTCTTTTTATTTAAACTTTCATCACTATAAATTGTTTTCCTGGTCTTGTTCATTTACTTGGCCTTGGTTCATGTGTCTTCTCTGATTTCTTCCTATTTATTGTTTCATACAGTGCAGTAATATCCCATTATGTTCATATGCCACATTTTGTTTAGCCATTGATTTACCCATCGACGGACACTTCCTTTGTCTCCAGCTCTGTGTTATCCCCAGAAGTATGGCTATTAATGGGGCCTTGCTCACCATCTTTAATCTCCTTGGGGTTCATGTGCTTGGCCCACTTTCGCCATTTCTGCCCCTGGGTGATTCTCCTGTTGGGCCCAGACCCTTGAGGATGCAGAAGGGCTGCCTGAGAAAGGGGCAGAGCTAGACTTTGAGGTTTCCCCTCCTAGTGTGGAGGGTCCCGGGATGTTGGAAAGCACAGCGGCTTATCTTCCACAAAGCTAGGGTACCAAATCTCCGGGAGGTGGCCATGGCTTACCCAGGCAGGGCAGATCCCCCAGGCCGGTACTGATTGCCTTCTTTGGGAGAAATCCCTCCCCCTTCCCCAAGGTGGTTCAGTTCCAGTTGCCCCAGGCCAGTACTCAGGCTCTGTTTGCATGCTAGCTTTAAAGACTCCTTTAGGTTTTCCCCAGATAGGCTGGATGAAAGGGGGCTTAGAGCACAGTGGAGAGCCTGTAACTGATGCGGGCCAACTCAGTCCCATCTCCTTTGCATTTCCTCTGAAGATGCTCCACCGCCTTATCTTTATGCTGTTCTGCTGCAGCAAAAGTTTTAATGGAAGGAAATTCATTTGAAATCTTATTTGAATGCATGAGTCCCCCTGAGGCTGGAATAATTTGTTTCTTTTATTTTGTTAGTTTGTTTTTATCTACAGTGCCTGGTTATAGGGGAGGAGAAGGAGGGGGGAGGGGTGGGGTGGAATAATATAAACCTGTTAGAAATAAAACATGTTAAAGACATTTCTGAATGTAGGATTTTATTTCTTTTTATTTCTTTTCTTTTTTTTTTGTTCTGTTCTTCATGCATGCATGCCCCCCTATACCGAACATGTGATGTGGTTAGAGTTTAATATGCTTCTAAGTGAGAGGGAGAGAAAGAAGGAACCAAGTTTGAGGAGATAGGAAGCAGGTTGGTGTAATGGATAGGGTTGGACATGGAGTCAGGAAGACCTGAGCTTGAATCCTGCCTCTGACACTTACTGGCTGTGTGACCCTGGGCAAGTCACTTAACCTCTCTGGGTCCCACTTTCTGCATCTTTAAAATGAAGTGTGTGTGTGTGTGTGTGTGTGTGTATGTAGACTCAATGATCTCTGAATCTATGATGCCTCTGAAAGAAGTGATTTTTGGCACAGCATCTCTCTGGTGCCTAAGCTGTGCTGAGCTTTCCAGCAACATCATTTTACAGATGAGGAAACTGAGGCCCGGAAAGAGGAAATGACTACGGTCATGCAGGGCTGGAATTTGAAGCTAGGGTTGTCTCCAAGTCCAGCCTTCTATCTGCTACACCAGAATGGGTTAGAGGATGAAGAAGGTTATGACGATCTAGGGAAATTCTCAAGATGAAGGGAACGGTGTTTGATTCCTGGGAATGCCACCTCCCTTTCCCCTGACCCTCAATAGCACTGGCTAGCAATTAGCCTGAATAGCCTGCTCTGTCCCAGGCACTGTGCTAAGCATCAGAGATACAAAGACAGGTAAAAGATAGTCCTCTGATCTAGCCCTACCATCCCATTTTAAAGATAAGACAGCTGAGTTCCACTGATGGGGAAATGATTTGCCCAAGGTCTCCTGACAGCAAGACTCAAGTCTTTCTGCTACATCAGCAAACCCTCATTGCCTGCTGTATAAAATCTCAGCTCTTTAGCCAGGTATTCGAGGTCCTTCACGATTTGACACCGACCCGACTTTTCAGCCTCAGCTGTGCCCCATTGAAACTGAGAAGTATCGAGGTGATCTCCCAATGACTTGTTGGATCTTGGATCAATCATGTCGTTTCTCTGGGCCTTAGTGTACTGCTCTGTCAGTCAAGAGGGCTGAAGGAGATGGTTTCTAAAGTCCTTTCTAGGCCTGCCACTCATTCTCCTTTCTGAAGTTCCTCCGACCTCTAACATTCTGTGCTCTAAGACCCCTTCCAGCTCTGACGTCATATGTTCTAGGACCCTTTCTTCCATTTTCTAATCCTTCAAGTTCTATTCTCATTATTGTAACATTCATCCCATTTCTGAAAGCCCCTTCCACTTGTGACATTCAGTGTTCTCAAGTCCCTTCCTCACAAACCCTCTTGACCTTCCTGTGTTCTTATACCATTTCCAGCTCCACCATTTTATGTTCTAGGGCCCTCTTCTGCTTGCTTTCCCTGATATTGCCCCATGTTCCCACTTCCATATCCTGAAATCTCAGGTCCAGAGGTAGGAATGAGTACGTTGTGTGTAACGCAATGAAGAGACTGGCCTGGTTGGAGGGTCAGGAGCATGCTGGAGAGGTGTAGACAAGTAGTAAGAGGGCATCCTCAGAGGTATCACCATCTCTTCTTCATTAATGATCACCTTTGATCAGGAAGGAGCGATGTCTCAGCAGTAACAGTGGCGTGCTTGGGGGGGGGCATTCTGAGGATGCCAGAAGGCCAAGAGCCAAGCCAACAGAGGCTCGTCTCTGTTACTAGCCCCAAGCTTCAGACTGAACCATTTTGTATGGGCCCTGCTAAATATGGTTTGACACTAAATAAGTTCCCACTTAATGTCAATTGGAAATAACTGCTTTGCCATTCTAACTTGTTCATAATGTCAATTACCCAAGTGGGTTATCAAGGTTCTCTTACAACAGCTTTTTAATTTGGTCTCGGCCTGTATGCTTTAGCGCTGGGAATAGTGGCCCAGCAGATGTAGAGCTGCCACTCGGTTTCCTTGTAACAGAAGAGATCAGAGGCAGGCAGAGGGAGCCATCTGGAGTGAAAAGGTCAGATCATTAAAAATAATAATAATAACAATAAATTGCAAGGGCTTGATAGGAGGTGGGTGAATGGAGCTAGGAAGAGAAAGAGGAAAAAGCACAGGGAAAAAGAGGTTTGGCAGTGTATAGGAGTAAAGGCTTATGTCTGCAGAGGCGCTTATGCTGTGTTCTAAAAAGGACCCCAGAATGTCCTTTGCCCTGTCTTTTTCTGGCCCCCTCCCCTGACTCAAGAACCCTGTTGGATTCCTACCAATCCTTCCATCCTTGAAAGCCCAATACAGATACCACGTTTTCAGGAAGTCTTTCTGGATCTCCCTTCCTGTGAGTAACCTTCCACTTCTAATTTCCCCTAGAACTTTGTTCTGTAGTTCTCAATGTGTTAATCGTGTATTAAATATCCATGTTAGTGTTTAATTCCCCCTACTAGACTGTGAGCTGCCTGAGGGCAGGGACTGTGCCTTACCAAACTTAATTTTCTTAAAATAGTCATAAAAATCCTTTTGATTGATAATCTTTTATTTTTTAATATCATCTTTATTTCTGAATAAAGGTGCCTAGCTGGGGCAGTGGAGAGAGCACAGCATCCAAAGTCCTGAATACTTGCGTTCATATTCAGCCACACATACTTAAGAGCTGTGTGACTTTGTGTCTGCCTCAATTTCCTCATCTGTAAAACAGGGATAGTAATAGCACCTACCTCCCAGGGTTGTTGTAAAAATCCAATGAGATAATATTTATAAAAAGCAGTT